TCGTTCAATACTTTAAAGAGAAATAACTCCACTACTAAGTTTCAATACAAAATTAATGAGCCCCACCTCGAAGCTTGTATCCTTGGAAACAAAAATTGGCCTGCCATAGAGCACTAAGAGCAACTTCAATGACAAGCTGCAATAATCTAACTTGCTTAGCCACATCAAATTTTAAGCTTAAATACTTTCTGACTACAAGTACTCTAATGGTTAGCAATAAGACATTGTAGCTTGCAATATTTACGGAGTAAATAATAAATATAGTAAGCATTACATCTACATGTCACATTGTAAGAGGCATTTGCTTTACTTCAACAGATATAAAACTAAAAAATAAAAAATATATATATATATAAATGCTAGTTTGAGCTACCCATGCTTTCAAGCTAATATTTTTTTTTTAATACTCCAATTTTATCAACCTACTTGATATTTTTACTTATTTGCAAGTGGGTCCCTAAAAGTAACCATTGGAGATGCTCTACAAATAGGGACTTGCTTGCAAATTAATTAAATTTGCAAGCATGTAGCTTACCATTGGAGTGGAAAATTGATGTAGCTAGATTAAGCAACGTTTCTCGAACAAACTACGTTGCTTGATTTTTTCAAAGATAACATCACCGATTTAAAATATGACATGTGTATAATAAAAGCTTATTTATTTATTTTTCTTCCAAGCTACAATATGCTACAATTAACCATTGGAGCACTTTGTAGCTACAAAATATACTAGCTTGAATATTTGATGTGGTAAGATAAGCTACAGGGTATTGTAGCTTACTATTGGAGATGCTCTAAGGACTACAACCTTTAGACAAATCAACCTACAATGTACAAGTGGTTTCTCTAAGAAAACAACTCAACATCGAGAGACAAACTCAAATACAACTTGAACTCTTTCCCTTTAGCCATCCGGCGCAGCAACAACCATTGCGGCAAGTTTTCTTACTCCCTCCGTTTCATAATGTTAGTCCCATATACTATTTTGGGCGTTTCAAAAAGATATACCCATATTGAATATATTTCATTTATAACTTGATTTTTTTTTTGAATTAATAATTTGTGAATTAATGACATGACTCTAAGTAAGGAAATCTTTACCTTAAATTATGCAATTATGACTTGTGCTTTCTTAATAAAAAATTAAAAAAGTTAAATAAGATAAACTAATTATGAATTATGTTGTACTTTAATGTTAGATTCCAAATATATTTCTTTTCTTATTTTATGTATTGATTCTATATGGGACTAACATTATGAAACGGAGGGAGTAAGTTATTTTTCACTAAAAGTCACAAAACTAGGATAGATGCAACACAAACCCACACGTGAATCATGGAATGAAGAATCAAAATAAGAATTTGGGTTCACTTACCGGCATGCAATGTAAAGACATGCAGCTTGAACCTGTTCAGCTTTACGTCCACGCACAAAATTTTTCTCAACAGCTATCTTTAATAAATGTAGACACTCATCAAGACTTATCATATTATAAGTAAATTATGAATATCAGCAACAGGATAAATTCTTTACAACTCACTTCATAAAATCGTACAGCTGGTCGTGCTAAGAGGTCTCCACCACCCACACCCAAGTTCTCGGCCATGTGAATAATGTAGTCATACGCTGCAGTAAATAAAAATGAGAGGTTGAGATCATATAAATATATACAGCAAGCTTCCAATCCCCATCCAACCCAAGGTAAAGGAAACAACACTACATCAATACCCCCTGGCCTGGCACACCTCAGTAACTTTTTCTTATTTCTTAGGGAGCGGTGAGGATGGAATAGTGGCATGTCAACTAAATAAGCGCCAAAGTTTAGACCGCTCACAGTAATTCAGAGCCAACCGAGGAGAACTTTAGATTTTGTGGAATGGGTCATGGTGCATTCGGAAAAGTATGAATACAATTACAGAGGCTATCCACAAAAAGAGGATCAGGAGGAACAAACGAACTTAATCAATGCTACAATTTTTCAATCATACCTAAAGTCCATAGAAGTAGTCTCAATCCCCAACCTTCAACTGCACACTTATCATACTGCTTGCAAAATTTTTACACAATAACACTCCCACTGCCTCAAAATAGTAGACCACATAATTCTGAAGTTGAAATGTGTCTACTTGTTGTCTGTCAAATTCTAATCTTTCCTTCTCAAAAGAAAAAAAAAAGGGGGAGGGGGGGATTTAAGATCATAGCGCGGAGAATAAGGAGCCCTCAAAAAGAATACAGATGAGAAATTGAATAGAATACCTTTTTTAACATAGGACTTAATGCCTTATATACTGCATCAGGTGAAAAGGGGAGCGAGATAAAAATTATAAACCTGCTCTAAATGTTTCACAGCTTTTTTTTAACATTACATTATCTTTTAATGCACATCAACTCCATATATATTTTGATAAGTGAATAGCCAAGTTAGCAAGCATTGTTAACCAGGCCATATAAGGACTAGTCAAAATTAAGTTAGCAACCATAAGGACAGGAGACATCCCGTTCCAACCTTGATATACGAAAAAATCCAGAAACATGCTTACATACGTTAAGAAAGAGAAGGAATTAGCCTACCCATAGAGCAACAAAGAAGCCAGCTACAGAATATTATCCAGAAATTACTACTTCCTCCATTCCTTTTTAGTTGACAGATTTAGACTTTTGATACAATTCATGACCTCTACTTTAACTAGCTTTTGTAATTTATAATTATGGTAAAACATATTCATGTAAGACCTTGTTGGACTTGTCTCAATGAGTCAATGTATATTTTCATAATATCAACTTTATATAATTTTATTTATAAATCATTAAAGATATTAATCATTGAATTTGTGTGTAGGCAAACGTATTAATTTATTTTTTTTAAATGTCAACTCAAAAAGAACGGAAGAAATACATTGCAAAAGCATAAACTAACACAATCCAACAACAATATATTTAGCAAAAAAATCCACAAAGTACATTAAGAACAACCAAGTTTGGCAGTAACAATCACATCAATGTGATGCTAGCCACTACACACCTCTATTTAATGTCCTCTCCCTTGAAACTGCATTCTCAGTTTGTACAGTTTTCACATAATTCCCAGCCAACTGGCTCTGTAACATAGAAAACCACAATGTTACACCAAAGAGTAATAATGTAATATATAAACAAATAAAGCAACCAACTCCTCTTAACACAAAGCACCAACCTGCCCTGCTGCATTTTTAACAAAACTTGGCTCATTTGAATAAATATCATGATCAACGACCTTCCCACAAAGAGTACAACATCTAAGAAAAACAAAACAAAACAAAAAAGGAACAAAATTAAGATATAATGAGGATACAAACCCAAATACTTTAGTATACATCAACGTGTGACAATTGCGCAATTACATTACACAAATTCTATAGGAGCATTCTTAACACATATAATTCTTAACTTCTCCCACCTCAAAATTTATTATATCAGTATCACTATCATGGCAAATAAGAGGTCCAAAACATCAATAAATCACAAACTATGCAATACTCTATTTTAAGTAATACAAATACAATACTAACTTCCTCATACTCGCTGCTCGACCCACATAGTTCACCACAATTCACAAAGTATTATCCCCCCCCCCCACTCCCCACCCTTTCTAATCTTAAGTCCAAAAACATGTACTGTATAACTTTGATGTGGAATGAAGAGTCTAAATAACATATAATCCAATTTCCAACACAAACCATATTTAAAACAGGTCATCTCAAAATTCGAAACCCGAAAATAAAATTAACAGGCAAATATATAAGACCAAACAGAAGGGTTTATAGAGGATAAGTGAACTCACACATAACCCAACTCGGTTGTCTCAACAGGCTGACGTTTAGAGCAACTGTTGCAAAACAGCAGGCGAATCATCCCCAAAATCTGAATGATCAAACACTTTCAAATTAATCAAAACCCAACAAATATATATAGCTCAAATTGAAAAATCGCATTAAATTCTTCTCAATTAAAAATATGTATTGCAAAATTCTAGCAACAAAATCACTCGTTAAAATTTCATAGCTTCGGTAATTAAAACCAATAGTTCAATAATCCACCCTAGAAAAACCCTAAATTTGATTGTACTGACAGTAAAAAATTAGCGATTATCAGTACAATGTGAAATTGATATTCTATGATTAAATAATGAAAAGAAAAAAAAACCAATTACCTAGGAAGGTGCTTCAATGGAGGAGAGAAAGCTCCAAAGCCGCTTCAATGGAGATTTCCGAGTACCCTTTAATGGAGGGAAGGAGGGGCTGTAGCCGCGCAGCGTAAACGTTAAACGGTTAGAGGCTCCAAAAGGGGAAAAAAATTAAAAAAATTACGAGTAGGACTGTAGGAGGCTGAATATAATAATGTTAACCGTCATATCTTTAGATAGCAACAAGGCCAACAGGTTAGAATTCATTCTCATTTAAATTTTATTCCTCGTGTTCTTTCAAAAAAAAAAAAATAATTCCTCGTGTTCTTTCAAAAAAAAAAATTAATTCCTCGTGTTCTTTCAAAAAAAAAAAGTTATTCATCGTATTTCAATACAGTTGTGAGCCTGTGATTAGATTTTGGGCTCAATCGGCACCTCGGGTTGTTAAGTGACGCTTATTTCAACATACGATCGAATTTGTAAAATGTTGTCTTACTTTTTTTATTATATGTATTTTAATACTTATATATTGTACGATTGGTATAAATTTAGTTATTTCAACATATAATCGAATCTCTGGGGTTTTTTTTTTTCAATACTCTATTTTTAATTTTTAACATGTGATCAAATCTAAATTATTCAAATTGTTAACAATTTTGTTATAATTTGACAAATTTAATGTAGACATGTCATTGAGCGCACCTAACATTATAGTTGATGTTATCCCATTCAATTGATTATCCCTCAATGGCTCTACCTAGATATTACATTCATTGTCATCAAATTTTCCGATTCTTAAAAATTGCATTGGGCATGTAATATTCAATTTTAGATTTGGACCCAATAATTGCTTATTGGATTGGAGTGAAATTGATCATGATGTTTGTATTGCAAGCTGGAAGAAAAATGTAGCAAAATTTGAATGTCATGCACATATAGTTTGGGTTTCTATGAAGCAAAAGAGAAAGCAAGCACAATCAAGAAAAACCTTTGTATCACACATTTACTGTGCTTAAAGTGATTGAGTTTGATTATTATACTAGACTGCCAGAGTATGGATTGAAGGTATTTGTTATCAAATGGAAGACGTAATTGCTACTGATTATTGTGTCGAAAAATGAAAGATAAACCCCCAGCATTTTTTTTACTGGAGAAAAAGAAACAAGAGAGATCTTGAGTTTACACTACAACCACATTTGGGCCATAGAAAAAATCCTAGCAAGAGATGGCTTTAACCTCCTAATACATCATTAACCAAACATGCACATTGCTGAAGTTTTCAGTTAAAGGGCTAGCTAGCCAACAGGCATTGGTTTTTCGAGCAGGCCTGCAGTGATTGTCTCTGCATGTCTGGCTGCTGCATCATACATAACACACACCAGAGAAAGATGTGAATTAAGGGAATAAGGGTACACTTAAATAATTGATAGAAGAAGAAAATATTTCGGACAAAAAAGCCTCACCTGGTGCACGCTGAATTAGTTATTCAGCATCCATCCCCTGGGTCATAGTGGACAGAATGTTTCCATTCTCAGATTTAGCATCAGCCCCTACTTTTCCTCTTGTATTGTTGACATAGCTGGGCTCATCGTCGTCTGAATATATAACTTGATCAATGACCTTCCCACAAATAGTAAACATCTAACAAAACAAAAAAACAAAAAACAAAATTAAGATATAATGAGGATACAAACAACAAACCCAATTAATTCAGTATACATAAAAGGGTGACGATTGCACTAATAGTCTAATACATGACTCAAACTCTATGGGAGCACCCCAACCTCAACACACATAATTCTTCACTTTATCTCAATATCATGGCAAATTAAGAGGTCCGGGACATCAATAAAACATAAACTCTGCATAATTCTATTTATGTCATAAAAATACAGTACTAAATCCTCACACTTGCTGCTCGAGCCACAAAGTAATATCCCCCCCCCCCTCTTTTCACCCTTAAACCGAGAAAAATAAACACATTCATTATATTAGTACATTTATAGTAACAAATGCACTAATATGTTTCTCAAATTCGATATTGAAGCATCATTAGTGAACACAATAATAATGCGAACTGAAGCTTCACTTTTTCCCATCAGATTTCAATATTTCATCAGCTAAGTATCTAGGCAAATTAAGAGGTCCAAATACATGAATACGAAACAAACTCAATCAACCAATCACATTACATTTTTCATAATGCACTAGCATACTAGAAATGCTTTTAGCCTGGTTAGGACTATAAGAAACCTATGTACCATAAGAAGAATATACGGAATAAGATACACAACCAATAAATAACACCTCCTTATTTTACAATAGGAGGCTCTCGAGGTCTAAAACATGTAAAATTGTACACCAAATTACAACTTTGATCTAAATTCTAAAATAAAGAGTCCGAGTAACATATATCCCGATGCCAACAGATACATGTACACAAGAGTTCTTTACAACGATCGATAACCATGGAAACAGACAAGTGCAGCACACAAGAAATTAAGAGTTTAAGAGCATAAGTAAACTCACATGAAACCCAATGAAGTAGTCTCAACCGGCTGACGTCGAGTGCAACTGCTACACCAAAGTGAAGCCATCTCTGTTGAGCTTGACAGATTAAATAAATTGATACCAAAACACAAATTTAAAAATGTACCATAAAATCATCAACAAACAGTATTTTCTTGAGTTTGAATTCATGATTGATTATACTTCAATTTTTGTATAATTTAAGTGCTTTTTCTAGACAAATCATGATTTATTCTGCTTTATTTAAGCAAAATATACATCTCATTGTGCATCATTGATCATATCAGATTAAGAGTGACCGTAATTTTGTAACCAAATCAATAATTCTTCACATATTTTGATACCTCATTACAAAAAAAAAAAAAAAAAAAAAAAAAAAAAAAAAAAAGACTAATTAAGTTTTTCCAATATGATCCATAATAATTCAATTGTATATAATGTTTCAATTCATAATAATTCATATTTTGATACAATCTAACGTATATAATAAAGAAAAAGAATGAGAGGAAGAAAAATTACCGATTATGGATTTATGGGGTTTTGAAGATGCAGATGAACAGGGGTTTGCGGTGGATTATGCTTGACACATTGGAACGAAGAACAATGGTGTGTCAGTGTGGCCGGAAAACTAAGATGATTGCTTTGAGAAGCAAGAGGATGGCGGTTTTCCGGCGAAGAAAAGCCGATCTTCCGGTGACGAGTTATCAACTAAGGAGGGCTGATCAAAAAAATCCTGTGTAATACTTCGTATGAGAAAGTTAGGATTCAGGGCCAAGGCTTATACGAAGTAGGGTTTTATATGTCATACTCCATAGTCCCATACATAACATTTGTAGTATATAGATAGCCCGTAATCCCGTATTATATAATACTTAAACAAATAAACAAATTAAAATACTCTTATATACGAGAAATATAATGAAACTCTGTTTTTTATTTTTTTTAGCGTTTTATTGACCTTAAAATGTCAAATTTCCTAAGAATAAGGTTTTTCTATATTTGTAATGTTAGTTTTTTTTCAATTACATCGCTTAAAAAACTCTTAAATTTGAGATACAAAAAATCTTGAATCTTGAAAATGATAGGAAATTACCATCATCTTATTAATCAGTCTACCACTTGACTTCATTACTAACTTTGAGATAAGTTTCGAAAAAAATGATCCAAACTTGGGATATAAGTTCATACGTCCTCCATTCGTAGTATACAATCTTTTACTCCGTATTTCATAAGAGCACTATAAAAGTACACAATCCCATCATTTGGATTGTAACCAGGTCTAATGATGTTTGAGCCAAAAGGTAAGTATTCATTTACTAAAGAAAGATCAGCTTTCGATCAGAAAATGTTTACCATCCATCTAAATTTGTTGCATTATCATTTACTATATAAAAGATACAAAAACACTTGCGTGGACCTGGTCCACAATAATATTATTGTGGACCCGAAATCTATACACACGCAACTGATATTATATTGAATATAGTGATCATTATTTTTAACATAGTAACCTTATTTTTAACATAGTAACCTTTATTAAAACTACTACAACGTTTAATAATATTGTGAACTTGAAATACGACGTTATTACACTAGTTTTAGCATAGTAGCCTTTATTATTCATATTGATTAGTATATAAAATATTTCATTACAAAAATATCCACTTACGCCTATATATTAACAAAATGATTTTTATTTCAACATAGTGACTTTTTTAAAATTATAGTGACCCTTTTTTTTGTTAATAAAACAACCATACTTTCTCTAATGTTAGTGGTCCACAATAAATTAGTGTGAACCAGGTCCATTTAAGAATTTCTATAAAAGATATCGAGTTTATTATCATCTAACAAAAAGAGATTTAACATACCCACATTTGGGCCATTGAGAAAATCATAATAAAAACTAAAAGCAGGTAAAACCAAAGATTTAACCTCCAACTATTGATCAGACTTGCAGGACTAAAACACAGGTCTTCAGTTCACGGGCTAGCTAAGAGGTATTGGTTATCAGAACGCGACTGCAGTGCTTTTTTCTTCTTCTCGGACTGCTGGAGCCCTTTGAATTCCTTTTTCAGCATCCCCATGCTCAAAGCAGAAAGAATTTTTCCACTTTCAGTTACAGCAACTTTGATTTTTCCAGGCTCGGTTTTACTGATACTGTCAATGTTCTCCTTGTTGACATCCATAACGCGGTTCTTCCTTCCAGCTGACATTGGAGTTTTGCAGGCAGATTTAGTTGGTGTAACCATGCTAACCGACAATGGCTTCTCAGTCATGCTTGAACATTTGGTTGGTGTAAGTGTTGGACATGGGACAACATCAATGTCACCAACTACTGCTTCTTCAGATACAACTTCATTGTCCGGTAGAATGTCAACTGGGCAGAGTTTTGCAGTTTCGATGGCAGAATTAATCTCTAGGGTCTCCTGAATCACATCCTCCTTGTCTTTCTCGGATCCTGTCTCATCAACGGTGTTTTCTTCTGATTCTTCAATATCGTCCTCATTGGCTTCATCAGAACCAGGCATCACTTGAGAAACTGGAACATTTCCTGTAAAAAAAACATGACATTACTGTAAGTCTCAATTCTAGAAATTACTCATATCCATCTACGGTTGGTAAACAGGCTAAAGTAATATACCTTGTTGCAAATTTTCATCCACATTGGCCAGTGGGACCTCAGTCTCATCCAAGTCCAATTTCACCATTCCCTCAACCAATGTTTTTTCCTGCAATTTGACAATAATAGAAGTCAGTATTCATAGGTAAATAAACTTTTTGAAGAGAAAAAGGCAAAAAGAAATTTCTTAAAACTCACTTGTAGTTTCTCCTTGTACATCCTCTTCAATTTTCTCAGACTTTTATGGTTCAAAGGTGTCTTACTTTCTGTAGGAACACGTGAACGAATTTGAATAGTTGATTCAGTGTCGAACTGGTTGGCAAGAAGTTCAGCTAGGCTAACTTCAGGCTTTTCAACCCAGTCTGTAGCAGAATCAGCAGTTATGTCTAGTTTCTCAAGCTGGCTTTTTTCAGATCCACTGTCCACGTTGGCTTCCATGCTCAGTAGATCAGACACCTCGTCATCTTCTGGCATCTCGTATTCAGACCAGTCAGACTCATCTTCTGTACAACTACCTTCACTTTCCACATTGGTTTCCAGACTTGGCTTATCAGCTGATGTAAACTCAGTATTAAACTCTTCAGACACCTCGTCTTCTGCAGGTTCAGGTACATCAGAATCAAAAGTAAATGTGACCGCCTTTTCAAGCTTGGTGTTTCCAGAATTGCTATCCTCGTTGACTTGATCAGCTTCAGTAGTAGACTGACAAGCAAAATCCTTGGGCATTTGACCTTCAGCAGGAGTAATGGCAAGGTTCTCATCGAGGCTCTCTGCAGCAGAAACAGGAGCACTGGCCAGGTTCTCGAGCTGGCTGTCTTGAGAGTTTTGAACCGTGATAGTTTCCAATTCACTATCAGCAGAACCCAATTTCAGGTCCTCGTCTTGAATGGCAACGTTGGCCACTGCTTCAGTCACCTCCAAAGTTTCATGGCTCTCATCTTCAGCAACCACTGCTTCAGTTACCTCCAAAGTTTCATGGCTCTCCTCTTCAACAACAATTTCATTGTCTACTTTAGCCACAAGATCACTTGATTCCGTCAGATTCTCGACATTGAGAAGATCGTTGTTACCTACAGGTTAAAACGGAAATCAGAATCATATGTTAACACATGCAATCACTATCTTCGCCGCAATTGATACTGCACAATCTTCAGAAATGAGTAGGTACTTACTGTTACTGATATCATCATTGTTCTCAGAAAAAACTGAAACTTCAGAAATCTCAACACTAGAGATATCCCATTGCACTGCACCACCTTCCTCATTCTGAGTACTTGGAGCAGCTGGAGTTTGATCAGCTACATCATTCTTTCCTTGGTCTGTTTCTTCTACGATCCTCTTCCTTGAAACGCGGCATGATTTTGTTATCAGCTTGGAGCTCGGTGGCTCTTCTCTACTGATTTTCATTGTGGTACGTGATCGACGAGCACAAGATGAAGTAATTCCTGACATCAGAGGGGAGCTTGGTACTTGAGTGTCACATCCCATCAGTAACTCTTGCAGACCTTCAACCTATAAAAATGCAACAATCAGAAAATTTATTAAGTTTAGAGATAAAACGTAGTCATTTTGGCCTCCAAAAGTCAGCTATACAAAAAATTAGAAGAATGGTTTAGGAATTAACAGCCAAATTAAGGTATGGCAGCAAAAGAAACTTACAACTTCGAGGGATTCAAGCGAAGCAGCCATTGCAGCATTGGTAGTATTGGCAGGTTTCTTGTTTCTCTTACACAGAGCTTGGAGGTCCCTTCGGCTGAGGCTGTGGAAGTCCACCTTACTGTCATTCGACATCTCGGTAGCTTCTTCTTGTGCATCCAAATCAATGACTTCTTGCCCATCATTGACCTGCTGCTCTACATCCTTTTGGGGTTCACTTTGTCCTTCAATTTCTTCACTAACTCCGGAAACCACTTCTGAAACTTCCTTAATCTCACCTCCTAAACAAGAATTAGAAACAAAATTTAGGCTCTCAGAGATCAATAGCAGTAAATAAAATCCTAAAAATTTCAAAAAAAAAAAAAAAAAAAAAAACCATTACCAGGAAGCTCACTGTTGTCAGTAACTTCAGATTGCTTCTTTTCAGCCTCAAATTCAGCTTCCATATTCTTCTCCATATTTGTCTGGATTGAGGCTTCCTGAGATGCTCTCTTCCGAGTGGTTCGCGTTGCCGGAGTCTTCCTTGCATCAGTTCCTTCCACCGCTCTAGTCCTTGTACTACAGCGAGTTCTTGTGGCTGTGGTCCGGGGTGCGTAAGATGAGTTGATCGCTGATCTTTCAGGGGAGCCCTGGGTTTCAGAATCTGGTTTTGCCAAATATTCAGCTAGTCCTTCAACCTGCACCATTGAATTATAATTAGATTCAATAAAAGAAAATATATATTGAATTGCAATAAAAAAAAAATAAAAATCCTTACTACAAATTTAATTTAACTTAGATCAGGATTTAATTTCATTTCTAGCAAGCTGACAATCCAATATCAACTTATTACATTTAACAGCTCCGAATTCCTATTATAATGACATGTTTTCATTCATACACTAACAATATACAAAGAGAAGACATTGTATAAAAGCCTAATTTTAAAAATTAGTCTTTCTGCATTCATTAGTTGAAACTTGAACGCATGAAATGTATGCAACACACCAGAATACTCCGTATTAAACATCATAAATCATTTGATTCAAACCACTAATTCTGACAATTCAAAAATCAACTTGCTACTAAAAACTACTGATATTCCAGATTAATCATCTTCAACATCTACATACTCGAACAGCTCTGAAATTACAAACATCCATCTGCTATTACACTATCCATCAACATAACATTACTTTAATCCAACGATTGAACTAATGCTTATAAAATTAAATCTGGATTAGTTATCTTCTTCACACTTGCAATTATCCGATTTACGATTATTAACAGATTAAAAATAAGTCCTCGAACATCTACACATTCATTTCAATTTAATCTTAACAATTATTGAAATCCAGTTTCATATAATTTGAAACACACAAATTCATCGATTACTCAAACATCAACCGATCAACAAAAAACCACAAACATCTCCACAGTTAGGTTTAATTAAATCCAGTATAACAAATTCTTCACAAATAATTCATCAAATAACTAAAACATATAACGATTCAGCAACAGCATCATAAGATCAAATCAAACAATATCAAATCAAAACAAAACCCTAGAAAACGAGATTAAGCAAAAACTTACAGTAGGAAGCGAAGCGAGAGCATCAGCCATGGCAGCATTGGTAGTATTAGCAGGAATGTTGTTGAGTTTGCAAAGAGATTGAAGGTCACGTCTCTTGAAGGTTTGGAAATCCATGGATTCTGGAAAGTTCTCTTGAACAGAAAATTGAAGATGAAAGAAGAAGAAGAGAGAGAAAATTAGGGATTGAATCAATCAATGTAAGAGAGACGATGATAAATGGTGGTGGCTAAGAGATGTGAGTTGTGGGGACTTTATATACGATGGAAGAGAGGAGATTTGTTCAGGGTAAAACTAACCGTTAGAGTGTGAGAGAGCGGAAGATTTTGAATTTGAATTTTGTGTGATTATTTTATTATTTTTGTAATCAGGGTTTGTATGCGATTTTGTTTCCTAAGTGGTATAATTGTTTCATTGGTGCAGAGAATGTGGTTCTTGGGCCTTGGGTATTAGGGGAGATGGATTGTGAGATTTATGACCCAACTTAATAATGACGTGTGGTTTTGGAGAGACATCTGAAGGCTGAAGCTGACCTAGTTACAGAGAGATATCGGAATTTATGAAATTGATTGACTTATTTGACTCTTTTATCGTATTTTGTGATTATCGTAATTTTAGTGTTGAATAGACCCAAGGTCTAGCTCGAACCTAATTTGTTGAGTATTGACTTAAATAGCGAGTTTTATAGAACGACTAAAACCGATTAAAAAGGGATCATATAGTTAAAACCCGATAAAAGAGAATGATGCCCAATGATAAATTTGGCTCAATTTAAAAGGTCATTGTTGCTTTTTAAGAGCAATTTCCATATATAAATAAATAAATAAGGACTCTTTAATTTCTTTCTCATATATGATTATAAATTGTTGAAATCATCTATCCAATATTTTTAAATGTGAAATTGTCAGTAAGTTATATCTCAAATTGCAATTTATAGGTAGATGGACTAAAATCACTAGATAGAAAATGTAAAAGTACGAGTATTTTCATTTATCAGTTCACAAGAAGTCAAAGGGAATGTATGTAGATGTGTCATATCAATCACACGTACATTGTAAATTAGTACAAATGCAAGCATTTTCAATGGTAATCTTAAAGCTTATCTTGCCACATCAATAATTCAAGCTAGTATATTTTGTAGCTTCAAAGTGCTTCAATGGTTAATAGTTGCGTATTGTAGTTTGGAAGAAAAATAAATAAATGAAATAGGTTTTCATGATACACAAGTCATAATTTTAGTGGGTGATGTTATCTTAGAAAAATCAAGCAATGTAGCTTAGCTAAATCAAGCTACGTCAACTTTTTCACTCTAATGGTAAACTACATGCTTACAATTTTAATTACTTTGCAAGCAAGTCCCTTTTGTATACCATTGGCGATGCTCTTATACTTCGTACATAGTTTCTTAGGGATATGCTGAGCATCTAACTTGTATAGACTAGCTTAGCAAGATACAAGTAAGGCACAACTTACCATTAAGGCTTCAACTAATGTTTTGGTAATCATAGTTTTAGTTTGATAGTATAAAGGGATAATGAGCTTAGAATATTTAGCATTATTGGGTAGTCATTAAGTTCTACATAAAATACTGGAATGTAAAATTAAAGATGTGTGGAAATACCAGGTGGTTGGTCTTTCAAAATATTATTTTAATTTCATATATAGTTACTTCATCCTTCGGAATAATGGAACACATCCATACAGGACATTTAGCAGACATTAAGCAAACGTAAACAAGGTTTCAGGACATTATTCTTGCTCAATTTAAGACTAAAAGGTTCATAGAAGTTCAGTCAAATCCAATAACTTCAGGGTTGATAAAGCACATAATGGCTTACACGCCCTTAACGATAGGTATAAATCGCCATGGGCTCCCTTTAGAAAGATCTAGGCTTACAGCAATTATCAAAAGATATAAAAGATGTACATAGCTCCCCAATTCTTCAGTTGCTTTCAACAACGAACAGTTGTAGGTTTGTAGTCAATCACAAGTACCTTGTCCAAGTGAGCAAGGAAGAGGTTAGCAAACTCAACATGCTTCGGGTGTGAAACATACTCTGCAACGCCTTCAGTGCTCCCAAATGAGGACTCAAAGATATGGGTGAAACCCTGATGCAGGTTCTCAATGCTTACATCCTTGCCCCTGCAACATCATTCAGCAGATATATTAGGACCCAATTCCAATCCTGTGCAGGTATATGAATATAGCAACACAAAGCTGAACAAATTTATAATGCAATTATCAAAGGCGTTCAATCCAGCTAAAACTTGAGTGTGGCTATGCAGAGAGCCAGCTGAATACCCCCCCCCCCCCAACACACACACACACACACAAAGCAGTTCCAGGCTTAGTGTATATTTTAGGGGCCAAGGAGAACCACTTATGTGGCTATTCACATAGAAGAATCGTTAGGAACATGATAGAAAAATCTTCCTTGATACTTCTCCGCTACAATTAGCCCCTCTGCCTTATGCACAGACCAGGCTTCTAACCTGCTGAGCACATAGTAATATTGGTGTTGCTTTCTTTCTGGTTTACTATGCCAGGGACTTCCCCATGGTTTCCTCGGCTTTAACTTTTATTGGTTTTTTTTACCTTTATAATGCAAAGGTCTTGTAGTATTCTCATTCTTTTGTGGTGGCTCTCTGCCATACTTTGGAGGAAAGCATTAAATCTTTTATATACTCCCAAAAATGTAACATTAATCAACACATAAACCTTCCCTAATTAAGCTTTATCATCCACAAAGTATATGATATACATTTGATGTGCATGTTATGATGTGAGGCTGTGAGCTACCAGCTATGTCCTATTGTCTCTGCACAGATCATGTTACTAGAACTTAGAAACAATTATAGCCTAAAACAATTTAAGGGGCCAAAAAAAAAAAAGATATTGCATAACCGAGCAGCAAGTGGCACCATATAGTACTTCAGCAAGAGCATTGAGCTATTGATCATAGACTAGCATGGAAACTCCCCCTTTCAGAGGCTATTTGTGAGCTTGTTAAGAACTTCGAGAGCTATCTGCATTTGCAGAGGCTCTTTGCCATTCAGGAAGCAACCAAGGTATACCTTATTAATCTATATCTATACTTAGTATTTAAAAACTATAACCAAGGAAAACACATGTCTCTATCCTATTACACTTCAATATCTTTTTCTCTAACAATATCTTTTTCTCTAACCTAAATGCCGCATTTCTTCTTACACTATTAATTAATTTTTTATTACACTATATTTCTTTAATTCTTTCATTAAAATTATATGCTTCATCTTCTATATACACTTCATCTTCATCTTTATCTCCCCTCTTCAATTCAACCTTTTGTTTTTCTCTCTTTAATTTTAACCCCTCCACCTTTATTTAATCCCCATTTTCAATTACAATTCCAAAAATTAAATTTTTTAATCATATTTTTGTTCACACGTTATAACCATAATGGTTTATTGATATATCTTAATTCATCTTTCAATTCAATTTTTTATGAATAACCCGTGCATTGCACGGGTCAGAAGGCTAGTTTTTTAGAAGACACCAACCCTTGTGGCCCTCCAAGCGAGTCCATTATTGCAAAAAAAAAATCCAGCTAGCAAAGAAGATTAGGTATCAAGAATTTTAAGCCAATTGACTGTAATTGTAACTTGTTAAGCATTGTTCTCTTCACCTTATTTTCACTTATTATAATAGCTAAGATAAGATAATATAAGAGTCAGGTAAGATGATATAAGAGTCAATGAGTTCAAATGATATATGATAACTGGATAAGACTTGATAAGTTCGGATTAGACATGGGTTAATAGTTACAATAAGGTTTACTGACCCATTATTTGAGACCCGTAAAGTTTAAAAAGGTCCAATAAATAAGATATGATAAGTTCGGGATAAGTAAGATAAGTAAAATTCGGGTGTAGAGTACCTTAAATCCATTTCAGTATATCGGCTATAAATGCTATTCCTACTTCACTATCTCTTATAGTAGTATCACAAACCTCTTTGGGTTGAGAGTGAGGGATAGCTCAAGTGGTTAGAGTTTTCCTCCAGGTGATCCTGGGATCGAATATCACCCCGGCCTTGTAGCTCTCTAAAAAATAAAAAATAAAAAACTCTTTGGGTTTAGATTTCTAGCTTGGAGCTAATTGACCTTTCATCGAATACGACATTCCACAAAATTCATTACATATCTAATTTCTTATCAAATTATATAAATCGCATGTATGAATAATTGAGTGAAACGAAACAAGAACCCTAGTAAATTACAAATCAAAAATCACTGACACTGATAATAATCACAAATTTCAAACAGGGCATTCACATAAACTATTGCAAGCTATAGATCATACTCCAAATTGAAGATATTCAACCAAAACTAAGAGAATTAATACTCAATTTCAAACCCTAGGTTTTCCATGGCAGATCAATATCAACGAATTGGAATGCAAATAACAAGAAATTGAAAAAATTGAAGGGAAATGAGGTACCAGTGAAAGGCTTTCATGGGTTCAATGTGATTGACGAGATTTGCATAGCCTTTGATGAGATCTTCAATTTTATCAGGTGAAATGTCATCTTTGAACTTTGCTAATAGTACATGCTTCACCACTCCCCTAGCCTCCTCCATTTCTCACTCTCTCTTCTGACTTTGTGTTGCTCTTTTTCTTTTCAAGTTTGATGATAGATTGAAATGTCTATGACATAATATTGCCATGACACTTTGCCACTAATAGAGCTAATCAAAAGTAGCCCGACCCGGTTCGAGTGGCCTAAAATGGGTTTGGGTGAAATTGAGAGTTTGTCTGGTTTGAAAATTGTCCGAAAAGTTCGTTTAATAGTCCGACTGGCCAATCCTAGCCTAAAAATATCTACGCAATATTTTGGGTCTGACCTCAATTTTCGCAGGCCGAGGGGAAGGAGAAGAAGAGTTTTCGTGACCGCCTAATTTTTTAGGCAATCTGAATTTGAAATTTTAGTTAAGATTTTGCCCGATTTGAAAACGGCCAAAAATCGCTTGACTTGGCCGAAATATGTAGGTTAGGGGCTTAAGGTATGTTATGTTTACCTTATTTTCTCTAAGTGAAGATACTTTAATTTTTCAAGACTGGACTTTTATTAGAGAATTTGATGGATGGGAATGGGATTCCGTGGTTGTGCGGCGGCGATTTTAATCTCGTGCTCATGTCGGAGGAGAAACAAGGAGGGAGGGTGTTTAGTGTGGAAGAGGCGGATATTTTTCGAAGGGCAATAAGCTACTGCCAGCTAGATGACTTGGGTTTTATAGGCCACAAGTACACATGGACCAACAATAGGGGAGGAGTGCGTAATGTGCAAGAAAGACTCGATCGATTTTTGGCGAATCAAGCTTGGCGTGACTTATTTCCGGGGTCTTTTGTCTCTCATTTGTCAAAAAGAAAATCTGACCATATCCCAATTTTGTTGTGCATTCGTGATACTATAAACACCCCGAAGAAAAAGAAAAAAAAGAAACAATATCGCTTTGAAGAAATGTGGCTAAGGGAAGAAACTTGTGGTGAGATTGTAGCGCAAGCATGGGAAGTAGGGGGAGATATTTGCTCAAAAATTGCTTTCACCTCAAATAAACTGAGTGCGTGGAGTAGGAAGAAGTTTGGTGATTTCTTTAAGGAGATGGAGGATTGCAGGGCTAGAATGAAGACATTAATGTCTGAGAATCAAACGTAGGAGGTTATAGCTGAGATGAGAGTGCTAGATGATCGCATGGATGAATTGGAGAGTAGATAAGAGGCGTATTGGAGGCAAAGAAGCAGACAAGATTGGCTAAAAAATGGGGATAAAAACACAACCTTCTTTCACACAAAAGCAAAACAAAGAGCAGAGAGGAATAATATTGTGTGTATCAAGAATGAGCTGGGAACCGAATATAAGAAAGAAGAGGAAATTTCTGAAGTTTTTGTGGATTATTTTGAGAACTTGTTTGCCACAGGTAACCTTATTGATCCGGAAGCAGTCACGGCTAAAGTTGAGCCAACCATTTCTGAGCGACAGCAAACCATGCTTGCAGCAGCTTTTAATGGGGAAGAAGTTCGTGAAGCTTTGTTTCAAATGCACCCTACTAAAGCCCCGGGTCCTGATAGTATGTCTGCTATTTTTTTCCAAAAATTTTGGGATATTGTAGGAAATGATGTAATTGCTAAAGTACATGACATTTTGAATAATGGGGGTGATATAGGTTCTATTAATCAGACTCATATCATACTAATTCCGAAAAAGAAAATTTGTGAGTCTCCTGTTGATTATAGGCCTATTAGTTTGTGTAATGTGATGTATAAAATTGTCACAAAAGTACTTGCAAATAGGCTAAAGAAAGTTCTGCCATCTATTATTCATGAATCCCAGAGTGGGTTTGTCCCGGGAAGATTGATTACTGATAATATTCTTGTAGCCTATGAATGTTTCCACTATCTCAGAAAGAAGAAGAAAGGGAAGAAGGGGTTTCTTGGGCTAAAACTTGATATGAGTAAAGCCTATGACAGAGTTGAGTGGGGCTTCCTGGAAAAAATGATGAGTAAACTGGGATTGCCGGAAAATTTTGTGAATATGGTGATGAAATGTGTGAGCACTGCCTCTTTTGATGTTCTTGTTAATGGTCAACCGTCGAGAAATTTTGTGCCGAGTAGGGGGCTTAGGCAGGGTGATCCACTCTCACCTTTCCTGTTTATTATGTGCGTGGAGGGCCTTTCTGCATTACTACGGGATGCGGAGAATCGGAAGCTGATCCATGGTATTAAAATTGGTAGGAGTGTACCTCCTATTTCTCATCTATTCTTTGCGGATGATAGCCTCTTGTTTGTTCGTGCGAGTGAGGAGGAGGTGGAGAATGTGCTTGACATCCTCTCAACCTATGAAATTGCTTCCGGACAAAAACTGAATATGGATAAAGCCGAAGTTTCCTTTAGCCGAAATATTGAGCCGGAACGGAAAAACACGCTTCAGATGAAGTTATCTTTTAAGGCTGTCGAAGGACATGAAAAATACCTCGGGTTGCAACATACATTGGTGGTTCGAAGAAGAGGGTTTTCCAAATTATTCAGGATAGAATCTGGAAGAAGTTAAAAGGATGGAAGGAGAAATTCTTATCACAAGCCGGAAGGGAAGTCCTTTTAAAATCTATTGCTCAAGCCATTCCCACATATGCTATGCAATGTTTTGCCATCCCGGTTAGCATTCTTGATGAGATTGAAAAACTGTGCCGGAATTTTTTTTGGGGTCAAAAAAATAATGAAAGGAAGATGAATTGGGTGGCATGGGAGAAAATGTATGTTCCAAAAAAATTCAGAGGCCTTGGGTTTCGAAATATGAGGAATTTCAACAAAGCCCTCCTCGCCAAACAAGCTTGGAAAATTCTGACGAACGATGATTCCTTGATGTCAAAGGTCCTCAAAGGTAAATATTTCCCGAAAACATCGTTCATGGAAGCAAAAATTGGTCAAAATGTGAGTTATACCTAGCGTTTGATTTTGGGAGCCAGAGAAGTTCTTGAGAAGGGGCTTAGGAAAACTGTTGGTGATGGCTATGCAACCCGTATTTGGGAAGACCCTTGGATTCCTGGAATGCCTGGCTTTAAAGCTATGTCTCAGCGGAGGGAAGATGTAAGTGAGTTACAATATGTTAGAGAGCTCTGGTGTGACAGGAAATGGAATATGCAGCTCCTCAATGTTACGTTTTCTCAGTGGGAAGTTAAGGAAATTTGCAAGGTGATGATTCCGTTGTTCGACAGGAGGGATGCTTGGACTTGGCATTTCTCGAAAGATGGAAGGTATGAAGTTAAAAGTGCCTATAATATGCTGACTTTGGATAGGGCTCGTGAACAAGCTTCTTGTTCCATGGGTGCCCCTACATTTGATTGGAACCTCATATGGAATGCTAACGTCCCACCGAAAGTGAAGATCTTTGCTTGGAGAGCTGTCAGGGAAGGTGTTGCTACTCGCCAGAATTTGGCAAACAGAGGAATGAATGTCGACAAGATTTGTGCAATGTGTGGAGTAGAGAGTGAGAGTGTACTTCACATGATTGTATTTTGTAAGGAGGCTAATCTGATATGGAGATCATCGCCGCTTCGATTGGAGGTAAATCACTTCGAAGGCACAAGCTTTAGTGAGTGGTGCAGCAAAGTGCGTGAGAAATATAAGGAGCCTCACTGGTGGGATATCTTCTGGTGTACTGTTTGGGGATTGTGGCTTCGAAGAAACGGGTGGGCTTTTGAGAAAAAAAGGAAACCTTCTATGTAGGTTATTTCGAAGGCTGTGAGTTTAGTGGCCGAATTTGAAAAGGCAAATGAAGCTAGTAATGTAGGTGTGGAGGGTCCGAAGTTTTCTGCTGTTTGGAGTGCTCCCATTGCTGGCTCGATCAAAATTAATTCAGACGCCGCCATGTTTCCCGGAAATCAAGTGGGATTAGGTGCTGTGATGAGAGATTTTGAAGGTGAGGTGGTGGCTGCAACATGTGAGGTTGTAAAGGGGACGGGCGAGGTTGATGTGGCAGAAGCTTTGGCAATGCGCCATGCTCTGAATATAGCTATTGAGGCGGGGTTCAGGAACTTATTGTTAGAAACCGATTGCTTGAAGCTCTTCAGTGCCCTCGTTAAAGGTAAAGCTAGCCCAAATAGCTTTGGATCAATTGTTGAAGATATACTGCAGCTCTCCCTTATGTGTGACTCTTGCTCTTTCTCCTTTGTCAAACGAGAGGGCAATAAGGTGGCACACAGCCTAGCAAAGCTGAGCAACACCTTTGAAGGTCTTAGAGTTTGGTTAGAAGATTTGCCTACTGTTTTGTATGAACTGGTTTTGGCCGATTTGAGGCCCTTTGTTTCTTAATTTTATTGTTTGATTGCTTTTCGTCAAAAAAAAAAAAAAAAAAAAAAAAGATACTTTAGTTTTTAAACTTACGGTTGGGGGTTAAAAATTATACAATCCATATTAAATGAAAGACTCAATTAATTGAGGAGGGCACCACGTGGCATATAGGCTTGTTTAGGAACATTTGTAATACATAGTATAGAGAAATTTGTTTAATAATTAGTTTTGAATGTAGTATAGAGCAATAATTTATAGTTTATACGAGTATATTGAGAAAGACCCCATTGTATTAAAGAAGAAGAATATGATGATAAGCAAAAAAAATTAAAAAAAAAAATCTTATATATATATATATATATATACATAAAGGGGAGTTTTTCCCCAAGTTTTTAGAGAGCCACGTAGGATTTAATTTTCTTAGCGCACCATGTAGGATTATAAATTTAAGTGGTAGCCAATTAAATAAGAGATTATTAATTTCTTTTACAATTAAATATTTCAAATGCCACGTAAGCAAAATTGGTGAATGAGATTTTAAAGTTTAAATTAATTAAGTACAAAATATTATCTTTTGATGTCAGGAATTTTATCTAAATATATAAGAAATTTTAGCACATAAATATATTTATAAATTTTTAAAAAAAAAATTTAAACAAAAGTATATATATATATATATATATATATATATATATATATATATATATATATATATAGGACAATATAGTTTGGAGTTGATTGCTCCACATTTGCCACATACTCATTGCAACTTATGCTTTACCATCATCATCTTGTTATTGTTTAAAATAAGCTCAAACTAAAGTTAATCTATTACAAACTACTAAATCAATGACAAAGAATATACACTATAAAATGATTGCATGAATAAGAATATGATGAGTACAAACAAGATAAGGAGAGGGGAAATGGAAAATTAGAGAAGAGGGGGGGGGGGCAACAATGTTTGGAAAAATGCAATATAAATACAGAGTATATAATATACGAAGTATGTATATAATGTACGAAGTATGTATGTATAAATTGCTCGTTATATGTATGCATAAGTTTTTATGTTATTATTTCAACAACTTAGGTAATAAATGAATTCGAATAGAATTTTTATCATTCATGAATTAATATTGCTAAGCTTCATTCCACTTTGTTTGGGTTTAACTAGGTGCATCTGTGCATGGTTGATCTTTCTAATTAAATTTTGCTTTAGATTAATGAAACATGAGACATTAAGCAACATATACAAGATTTCAGGACATTATTCTTGCTCAATTTATGACTAAAAAAGTTACATAGATATTAAGTCAAGTCTAACCAAATTCAATAACTCTAGAGTTGAAAAAAACACGAGTATATAATGGCTTAAACGCCCTTAACATTAGGGATAAATTATCTCGGGCTCCTTATAGAAAGATACAGGTTTACAGCAATCACAAAAAAGATTAAAAGATGTACTCAATTATACCCAGAATTCCAATTAGACCAAACTGTCTATAAATATGAGATGATTCATTTTCACCAATAATAAAAACAAAATAGTTTCCCCATTCTTCATCTTCTTTCAACAACGAACAATAGTAGGTTTGTAGTCAATAACAAGTACCTTCTCCAAATAGGCGAAATAGAGCTTTGCAAATTCAACATGCTTCGGGTGTGAAACATACTCTGCAACTCCTTCAGTGCTCTCAAATGAGGACTCAAAGATATGAGTGAAACCTTGACTCTTGTTCTCAAAGCTTACATCCTCGCCCCTACAACATCATTTAGCAAATATTTATATATAATGCAAATGTGGAATTTATTAAAAGAAATATTGATAAGTGGCATTTATGCCACTATTTAGATCCTCTAATCGCGGTATTTTTCTACGTTTGTCCCTTGTTTGTACCCCTTTTGCTCAGTTTCTCCCTTTATTATGTTTTTGTGCTTTTTCTCGTGTTTTGTAGGCTTTTGGAGTTGATTTTAAGAGAATGAAGAGCTTGGAGAATTGGAGTTCATTTGAAGAGCTACAAAGGAAGTTAAGGAGCAAGCAAGCAAGGCCATGCGGACAGCGCGGGTCGCGCTTTAAGAATGGCGCGGGCGCGCCAAACCCAGCGCGGGCGTGCCTAACATTGGGGTCGAAAATATTGGAGGCAGAATGTAGGCGCGATTTGGGCGCGGCTTAGGCGCGGGCGCGGCTTAGGCGCGGGCGCGCCTAAGATAGGCGCGGGCGCTCAAGGGCCTGAACTCCAAAACTAACCTTTGTTCACTCTTTTAGCCATAACTTTTGATCTACAAATCGTATTGAGGTGATTCAAGTTGCATTGGAAACTAGACTTGAAGAGCTTTCCAACGGTAGGTCGCACGCCCCTAGAAGTCTCTTAGAACAGAAGTTATGGCCGTTTGAAAATGAATGTCGCTGTCAGGCCAATCCCAGTGCGCGGCCGCGCAGGCCTCTATCGCGGGCCCGCACGAGCAGCTACTGGTCTTTTAAATGCTTCTTCCTCTCCTCTTTTTGGCCAAGTTTTTATGGTGGGTTTCTTTGGGGTTTTCTCTCTCCTCTTTGAGGGGTTAAACCCTAACATCTCTCCATCAATCTTCACATAAATTAGGCTTAGATTTAGTTTTAATCTTTGTTTTTATACTTTGTAATGTAGATTAAGAGTAATTTAGGGTATTTTAGAGAGAGAAAGTGAAGAGTTTCAATGGTGGATTGAAGAAGATGAAGGTACAAAGTGACATTGTTTTGGATTCCTTTTCAATACTTCAATGAGCATTCTAAACTCTATCTCATTTATTGTTCTTTCTTAATTTCTTGCTTGATTAGAGTAGTTGTTTAGTTTAATTTCTTCTCTTTGTTCTTCTTGTTGGGTTTTGTGTTAGTTGTTCATGATTAGTGAGTAATTCCCTTTACTAAGGGATTGGTGATAGCATGTGGTGAATCTTGAATGTATTAGGCTAGACAAATGTTGGTTATATGTGATTAAATATACCTTGTAACCATGTTTTACTAATTACTCCATGTGAATGGCCAATCATGTGTTGTAATTGGGTGGATTGAACTAAGTTATGACGATAGTGTAACTTAGGGATATCCATTAGGTGATCGATTCTATGCAAAAACCTTAACTTTCATAGCTTATGACGATAGTATGAGCATGTGTTAAGTTGGGAAAGCCTTTGACCCCGATAGGTGGTTAGATGGTATTGTTGGTATTGCCTTATATGAGATATTTGGTTTGCATGTAAACTCATTTCCATTGCCTAACTTTATTGAAGATCATTGTCATGTTTGACCCTCTCCCTTGGTGTTAGTTTAACTTAATATTAATCTCATTTTGTTTATTGTTCTATCCATCTTATCTCTTTGACCTAGCTTAATTGGTGGTGGTGTTGATAGTGTTTATGTCGTCTTCGTGGTTCGACCCTCTACTTATCACTAAACTTGTTTAGTGTGGGTGTAGGTTTATAAATATTGTTTGGTTGAGGGTAGTTAGTCCAACGACCTAATTATCCTTCACCAAATATCAAGTGAAAAGTTTATAATGGCAATTTCAATCGTGTGCAAGAATGTGAATATAGCAAACATAACACTGAACAAATTTATAATGTGTGAAATTGTTCAAAATGTTATTTCAAATTATGTAATACGGAGTAGCAATTATGGCATATTATAAAAAGAAATATCATGTGAAAAGTATTGGCAGTTTAGCATTTATAAAATAATTTAAAATATATTAATCTTTTAACCACAATCGTAATAAATTAATATCATTAAACTCTAAAAAATTGTTAAAGCTTTTATCTAGTGTCAAAATCATACAACTGAATTATTGTACAATAGATCTTTTTACAATTTATTTTTAATTTTCAATTAGTCATTTTTTTTTCCTTTGTAACAATAAGTCACTTGTTATAGAATATTCTAAGGGATATACACCAATTAGTTACGGTAATTTCAAATAAGGGTGTCCATTATTCTGATAAAAACCGAAATCCAATCAAATCCAAATCGAATTATAAATTCGGATTGGATCCAAACTTTAATTCGGATCGGATTGAAATTTTTTGAAAATTTGAATTTTGGATCGGATCGGATTGACCTTGTTTGGATCCAAAGAATCGAATCAATCAAAATATGAAACCATATTTTTTTACATATAATTAATCATGTAGAGTTATGTTGATAATTACATTAATATAAATTATGTAAATCTGTGTTTTCAATACTTGTATTAATCATGTACAACTATGTTTTCAAAACTAAGATTTTTATAATTGCATCTTCATTTTATAATTACTTTAGGCCCTAAAAATTTGCAATGTATTTTAATTTGAATTTTTGGATCGGATACAAATACCCAAGATTTAATTTGGATTGGATTGGTAAGAAATGCGGATCGGATTTGAAAATTAAAAACCAAATTTTATTTCGGAACAAATTGGATTTGGGATTTGGTCAAAATCCAAACCAAAAACCGAATAGACACCCCTAATTTCAAAAAGGGTAAACATTTCACAAAATCGACTTAGTAATGTTTGCTTACATGCGTTCCAAAAAATCACGCACGCATCGGGTGCATAAAAGGATATATGATATTTTAAGCTAAAACTTTACTCCAAATTAAAGATATTCAACCCAAATTAAGAGAATTAATACTCAATTTCAAACCCTAGATTTCCCATAGCAGTTCAATAAAAAACGTATTGGAATACAAATAACAACAAATTGAATGAAAAAAACGCAAAGAGAAATGTGGTACCAATGAAAGGCTTTCATGGGTTCAATGTGATTGACAAGATTAGCAAAGCCTTTGATGAGCTCTTCAATTTGCTCGTTTGAAATGTCATCTTTGAACTTTGCTAGTAGTACATGCTTCACCACTCCCCTTGTCTCCTCCATTTTTCTTTCTCTTTCTACTAAGTGTTGCTCTTTTTTTTTTTTTTTTTTTTTATGAAATGTCTATGACACTTGTGCCTTTATTAATAGAGTTGATCAAGAATAGCCTTACCCAGTTCTAACCTGTAAAATAGTTTAAATTTTGAAATTTTGGTTGAAATTTCGCAAATCCAGAACTGGGTTAAAAACGTCAGCTTAATTTGGTTAGGACACATTAAAAATATTTGTTCTTTTTAGCCAATAAGTCAAAGGTTTCCACTCAGTCAAAATTTGTACACAAGCATTTATGGTAACATTTATAATTTTATCAAAATCAAAGGATATCAAAATTATTCAAATATCTTACTTGTATTCAATAAGAAAATAACCCCATTCATGTATCAATATTGCTATGGATTCAACTTAATTTGATGTTAATCTGGTCAATAACTCTATCTTTGTATCGAATTTAGAAATTTTCACACATCGTGTCACTTGCATGTCCTTCAAATAACATGTGTTCGAACATATGTACAACATTAACACGTTAGTGAAGTGGTAGTTTTTTCTATTGTATAAGACACATTTATTTCACAAACATTTTTAGTAACATATATCATTCATTATATCAGAATCAAACAATATCAAAATTATATGGCAACAAATTAGCTAAGTATCTTTAAAATTTGATCCATATAAATATATCTTTCCATTATTGTAAAGAATCCAAATTATTAATATTTCCATACAAATAATATATGAAGTGCTTTGTACCTAGTAACACAATATTTGAGAACGTAAACGAACAATTAATTTTTATTAGAGCTGTCAAAACTCAAACCGACCCAAACTCACCGACGTTATTTGAGCCAAAAAAAAGAGGGCAGGAAGCATTTCTCTACAACATTTATCAGAGCCAGGTTTCGATCCTGGGACCTGTGGGTTATGGGCCCACCACGCTTCCGCTGCGCCACTCTGATTGATTGATAAACTCCCCTCTCAAAAACTATACAATCTCAAATAAAATCAAAATCCAAAAAAATAAATTGTCACAAGAAAAACGAGCACGAGTAAAATCGTCCGAGTCAACCCAGGTAAAACTCAGAACCGAGTGAACAGAGGTCTTTCTTCCATTCCCAACAACAAGCTTCTTCTCTTTAGGAGAGAGAAAATCTCACACAAACACAAGAGAGAGAAATTAATTTCAGAAGAAGAAGAATTTGCAATTTGTTCAAGTTTTTGACGGTTTTCGATCATACGAATTCGTCGGAAATAAATCCCAATTTGGTTGATTTGCCGAATCTGAATCGATTACAAACCCTAGAATTTTTTCTGATTTTTTTTTTTTTTTTGAAAAAGAAAAAATCTATCCAGAAAAATCAAAGATGATTTTTTTCCCATTTTGAATGGAAACCCTAATCATCTTCTTCCTTTTTAATCAATGGCGTCTTCTCCTATTTCCCTCACCACTTTCCGCTTCTCTCTCTTCTTCGCCGCTGGTTGATCGTCCTTTGATCAAATAATTTCTTATTTTATTTTTTTCTGTGTAAAAATATTGAAAATCCGCCATTTTTGTTTGCTGTAAAGCTTTCTTAGTATACCCTGTTTTTTCCTTTTTTTTTATTTTTATTTTTAGTTATGGGGAGCTCAGAGTGTGGTGGGGTTAGAGATGGTGGGGCCGGTTCGATAGTGTGGGTTCGAAGGCGAAACGGGTCGTGGTGGCCGGGTAAAATACTGGGTCCGGATGAACTCTCTGCTTCTCATCTTATGTCTCCTCGATCTGGAACTCCTGTTAAGCTTCTGGGCAGAGAAGATGCTAGTGTGTAAGTAATTTGTTCTGTTATTCTTTCTGTTATTTATGTTCATGTTAATTGAATATTAGATTGAGTTAAATTGGTATTTTTATATTAATTTTTGGTTATTGTTTTGCTTTGGTTGGTTTTATAATTGTTTTTTATGAATTGGGTGCAATGTAGTTTGTGTATGTTGTGGGATGGGGTTGGTTTAGTTATGTAGAAGAGGAATGATTGATTCTATGAATGGAACTTTGTATATTCTGACCGCCACGAGCTGCTAATTTGGCCCGAGTTTTTATGAAGTACTAGCATAGAGCTTGTGAGGTGCCATTATAGCTATATGAGATTGTTTTAATTCCTAGGGAGAGAGCGGTTTTCCTTGTTGAATATGTAATGATGTTGCCGAGAATGTTGTTTAGTTTAGGGATTTAGGGTCTTTGGAAGGAAGGGAGGGAATGTGGCTATGTGAGGAGGGTAGGGTTACTTGTGGGTTGAAAGATAGATTGAAGCCTAGTAGTTCTAACTGGCGAGTGGCGTTTGTTTGTGGGTAAGTGGAGTGAATCTTGGCAGTAGGCTGTATGTTATTTTTGAGCTGTAACATCCCGACTTATCATCTAGGGACTATTGGTATCAAATTGCCGTCGACCAAGTTGCAATGGGAAGGTATAGTGTTAGTAGCTGTTTGTGTGCTAGGATAGGAGGTGGGTTGAGAGTCTTTAGTAGGAGGCAGGGGGCAAGGTTGGGTTGATATCCTCATTAGTAAGAACTTGATTTGACAATCAGTTCTAGCTTTCCACTGCTAAGATCATAGACTTTGAAGACACATCTTTGTAAGATCTGCCTGAAATTTCAGTGATGCACATTTGTTAGTAAGTTGGGAAGAGACTTGTATATTTCTTATAAATATCTTTTTTGCCCTGGTTTTGCTCTGAGGAGGACGGACCTAAGGACACTGAAAAAGCTTTTACTGGCCAATACACTAGTGAGTAGTGACTGAACTAGATATTAGTAATACTCTGAAATCTCTGTAGTCGGAGTGTCAAACACATGCTCACCAACTTGTCCGGGAAGAGTGAAAGCTATCTTATCCCTTGAACTGGAAGCAAGAAATTTGCAGGAAGTTGAATACAGTTGCTTTGGATTAAGGATAACTGTTTGTTTTAAAGGAATTATGAAAATTTGTTTTCTTAGAATACTAATCTCCTTATCTGATTTGCTAGTTTACTTCACCCACACCCTTCTTATGTCGAGTTGTCAGTTACTTGTGGGTGGTCAAACACTCGCAACAAAATGTGTACATACTTGTTTAGTGCTTCAATTGATACCAGACTCCTTAGCCTTCATGCAGTCACTACCCTTTCTATCTATCTCCATATCTATGAGGTTAGCTAAAAATATTTGGACTTCCTCTGCGGCTCTACCACAAATGACTGACAAGTTGGTAGTACTAATGCACACGTAACCACGTAAGGCCTAAACATGCTTTGGTTGGTAAAGTTCTCACAGAAATAGCCGGTATACTATTGCACACTTAAGACCTAACTGTGCTTTGGTTGTTGAAAGTCTTGTGCCACTTGTGGGAATGCTATCCTTTAATATATATGATATATGATGGCCCTCTCATATAATTATTCCGCTGGTACTCCAATATTCTAAGATTTACCTAGTGTTGTAGAAATTACTTTTCCTTCTTCAGTTCCTACTATCACTTGCTGGTATGTTTTTTAAAAACATCCATGTTCTATATTCCTTTTAAGCATATTTTAGTTTGTATTTCCTTGTCTTAAAATGCCTGCTAATACATGTTCAACCTGACTCTAAATTCTGGCTGGCATCATGTTATCTACTTGTCTTGTGTGGTCTAAATAGGTGGGTGGTGCGTAGTTACTACTGTCATGAGCCTACACATGTATCTCTAGTTAATTTTTAGAACTATTATTATTTCTATTACTTCCTGCTGTGTTATATTCATAGGCATGCATCTTATCAGGAAGGCAAATGCTGAAATTCTGGTATTTGAACAAACTGATCTCTCTTTCATTCATCAAGCATTTTTGCGTGCTCTTCACGTGAGTGAAGCAAATATGTTGAACAGGAATTACAACACTGCATTTCTTCATCCTGATTTCCCATTAATATTTTATGGATATTTTCTCAGGGACTGGTACAATCTTGAAAAATCAAAGCGTGTGAAGGCATTTCGATGTGGCGAGTTTAATGATTGCATTGAGAGAGCTGAAGCCTCCGTGGGACTTCCTGCAAAGAAACGTGAAAAGTATGCACGGCGAGAAGATGCCATACTTCATGCTCTTGAACTTGAAAAACAATTTTTTGAAAAGAAATATGGGAAATTAGGTAACACTCATTCCATGCGAGAAAAACAATCAGATTCTGAAAGAAAGGACTTAGTTAGATCATCTGGAGTTCTGGAAAATGGTAATGGGAAACTTGGAAACCATGAATCAAGTCAACTTGGCAGGACAGTTGATATATCTAAGTTAATGGAGAGAAAATCATTTCCCTTGTACACCCACAAAGCTATAGATGGAGCTCATCCAAGTTTAGAAGAGAGTGGCACTGATTTGAGCCGTCATGTAAGAGAGTTGCATGCTTTTGGCCTTAAGGCTGTGGCTACTAATAAAATGCTATACACTTCAACTGTGTCTGAAGAATCTAATAGAATGGCAGTTGATGGTCTTGCATATGCTGTCCCAACAGCTGATCACCGCTTTGAGAATTCTAGTTCATCTGATTCTAGGAATTCCCTTGGCAAGCGGAAGCGGTCACTGGATGGATCTGTTGAGGAGTCTCTTCCAAAAATGAATGATAGGCTGAATTCCTTTGTCAAGGTCAGGCATGATAATGCAAAATTTCATTCTAGTTCTTTGCATCCTGATGTGCAAAGAAAGGGGCTTCCCATTGCTGGTAGTCATCGTTCTATGTATTTTTCATCCGAGCCGCGTGAAATATTTGTTAACAAGCAAGGTAGCCTGATAGAAGCACCAATTACCCAGCTTGAGGTGGGCACCTGCCAATCTCAGCACAGCGCTTTTGCAGAAGTGTCTACCTCTGGATCATCAGAAGAAACTGAATCTGATTCATCTGGAACCCGATCTTTAGAAGCAAATGTTGAGACAGGGGCAATGCTTTCAGGTAGTTAAACAATTTTGCTACTTTCAAGAGTGCTCGCAATGAGCTTCTTATTTTATTTTGATTTTTCATGTTTGACTTGGCCAATTGCTACAAATGGCTCGGTCTATTTTTTCTACATTTTCTGGATTTAAGTGGCATTTTAGACATTCTCAAGTTTATCTTTTGTGCATATTTGACAGGTATGCATGTCAGATGCCTCTCAGCTCTTGTGACTACATGCCATCTAGTGCTTATCTGGTGAATTGAATGTAATTGTGTAGTGTGAATTGGACTACATACCCTGACTATTTTACTAATTGTTTAGTGCTCGACTTTTTTAAGACTGTTGTAAGAATGATTGTGAAGCATTGTTAGATTTACTAGTTTCTAGTTCAGCAGTTCACATTAAGTCTGGTCTGATTTCGTACTTGCTAGTCCGGGCTAGTAATTTTTTCTGTTGAACTTATATATGCAATCTTGAAGCAAAATTATGACCTCATCTTCCTGATTGCATTTGGTCCTGATCTAATTGGAGGATACACTTTGTAAGAGATCAAATTTTGAAGAGCCACTTGAAGGCCATTTGAAGATTAAAATCAGCAGTTTCAAGTAGAAGTAGGACTGTAGGAGTATGGATATTTGGGGGGTGGGGGCCGGGGTTTGGGGAGCTAAATAACTCATCATTTGATGTCTTGCTCTATTTTGATCCATGTGTCCTTTACAGTTATTGATTTTTGTGATTTAACTGTTGTTATTTATAAGAGATTCTGTTAATCCTGGATTTAGTACACTAGGTCTTTGCATAGTTACTTATAATCTGAACAATGTGTTTGTTGTAAAAACTCTAATTTAGTAAATTATTAATTGCTTTGTTCATTTGTAGCTATCATCCCTTGTCCCCACTACCAGTGGCTTAAGTGGTAAAGTTTGTGCAATTGTCTTGATGTGCATTTGGAATTTTGCTCTTTAAACACTTTGTTGCAGTGCGACATAAGCATGTGATTACTTAAAGATTTCTCTTTTTTGTATTGAAAATTATCCCACAGCTTGACGTATCTCAATTTGGTGGTTTATAATACAACTGAGTTTTGCTGCTTTTTCAGATGCTGAAACGTGCATCAGGGCTCAGCCAAGAATACTTGATAGGCTGCAAGTGCAAACGGGTCATGAGAGTACCAGCAGTGATGATTCTGAAGATGGTGATGAGAGGTCTGAGTTATATTTTCATGATCCAAGTCGTGCTGCCGCAGTCTCTAAATGGCAGTTGAAAGGGAAAAGAAATGTTCGCAATATCAACAAGAGACCTGGTGAGAGATTCACTTATGGATCATATCTTGAAACAAGGGGTAGGTCAATGAGCCAGAGGGCACCAAGCCATAGCTTGATTTACTCTCATAACAATGGCTATACCAATGACACTGATTATATGGAGGATGACTTTGACCGCCATTCACAAGGATTCAGTAAAAGAGGTTACTTGCCATCACAAGCTGCGGCCAGAAGGCAAAATTTCACCGGCCAGAATATGAGTGATTGGGAAGAGTTGACATGGGGAAGGCCTTTGAGAGGATTCTGGGAAGATAGAAGTGGCTACTTTAATCCAATGTTTGGTGGCCGAAATGGGCATGATTTGCTAATAGATGTAGACCTGAAGGTCCAAGCAAACCGTCAAGGCGGTGAGCATGTACCTTGGGTGTCTTTGATGAGCAGGTTAAATGGGAAGGCAATTATAGGTCATCCTATCCAAATCGAAACCCTTGAAGATGGGTCAACAGATATTATTGTATCAGCTTGTGATGTATATGGTGATGTAAGATATGACTCTGATAGAAGCAAAGTTCCACCAATTTGGAGGACTGCCAAGAGGACGGCCAATTTTCGAGTGCCACGTCCTCGTTCATCTTCATCCCAGATGGTTGGCAATGAAGGTTCTGATAATCAGAGTATTCATCAGTCTATGAAAGTAAGTTCCAAGAAGTCACATGCTTCAAATTCTGTTCGTAAAGGCGGAATTTTGATGAAAAAGAATCATTCCACACATGTGACCAGGACTCCTCACGGGACGAAGAAGCTTTCTCGAAAAGTGAATTCATCTTCCAATCAGAAGACAAAGACACTGTCTTCCATTGGCTTTGATCAGAAGTTCCCTACCGAAAAGAAAGAGGATGATGGTGATGGTGTGATAAAATCTGTGATTTCAGGTCCCCAACCAGTGGCCTGTATTCCTGTCAAACTCGTTTTCAGTAGATTACTTGAGGCTGTTGGTAGGCTGCCTTCTGCACCTGATAAGCAAGGGGTTTCAAGTGAACAGCAATAAGGAGAGAAATCCCACCCGCGTAGGTACTCTGTAAATTGTAATGTGGGGATGAATAATCTATATACCATTTTAATAGTCGATATCTTGCTAATTCTTTCGCGATAGAAAACAAACCGCATCAGTATACATCACCTGCATCTGGAGCTTAACGGAGTCTTTGCTGTCTTCGGAATACTGGGATGGAGATGATCACTTACTGGTATATGGCTTCAGATGCATGTCTGATAGTGAATAGTGATAGTCTCATAGAGAGGAAAACAGCTACCCTTTGTTCAGTAGGAAGTTATACTAATACTCAGTAATCAGTATTTAAAGAGAGGTAGAACTTTTAGTTTTGACATGAAAAATGTAAAGTTTAATGTAAATGCTTTCATATCTTGAAGCATACATTCCTAGTTTTTACTTATATGATAGCTTTTAGCTAATGTGTAACATTGGGGTTATATTTGAATGTGTTATTTTGCACATATTCTGGGGAATATATTGATGTATAGTCTGTCAAAATTTTCAGCACAATTTAAACTTGCCTAATCATTTTAACTACAGTTTATGGGAACATGATGCTTATGCCTTGGAACTAATATTTGTAATAGGGGAATAACTGAATGAAGTGGGGAAGTGAAGACTCATACTGAGCTGTTTTGCTTAGCCTAACCCTGATTAATATGATAAGTCATTAACCATGAGTATAATGAAAGTGATCAAATGTGTGCATTGAATACCATTTTTTTTTTAAAAAAGTGCATAGTGTTAGAAAAAAATGGAGGATTAGTGACTAGAGTTTCTAGGCACATAACTTAATGTTGACCCTCTGATATAACATGGTTTACAAAATGACTATTAGAATACAAAGAAGAGACCAATTCATTCAGGTTGTTTATTAAACCATTCATGAACATGCATGTATTGTCCTATTTTTGAGTGAAGAAGAATGCAAGGGGAATAGTTGAATTATTTTAAATTTTTTAAAATTATAACTTAAAAAATATATATAATAATATTTGAAGAACAAAGAAATGAATCTAATAAAATTTAGACCCCTTGTAGAAAGGTACTCCATCCGTTTTTAAATATTTGCTCCATTTCTATTTTTTGCACTATTCATTTATACTACTTTGACTAATGTTTGTGATTTATACATAAGAAAAAATATAGTCTTGTGGGCATTTGTTGCAATCATCTCAATGAATAGATTATTAATTTTCAATTGTTAGAAGTTATACCTATTGATAATTAAAGAATTATTGATAAAAGATTAGCATCGTCATGCGTGTCCAAGAGAAATGGAGCAAGTATTTAAAAACGGAGGGAGTATATAATATAGGAAAAATTGTCCGGAATAATCCGACCTTTGCCTCATCCGCCCAAAATAATCCCACCTATCGATTATTTTTTAATAATCCGACCTTTATACCTCTCCCGCTCCCAATGGTCCCAAGTGACTTGAAACCGGCTAAACAAGTTACCATTTATAATTTGGAATTGTTTGGACATGTGTCACCACATAGTTGGTTAAAAAATTAATTAAAAAAATTATTGAAAAATTAATTAAAAAAATTAATAAAAAAAATTAATAAAAAAATTTGGAATCTGGTTTGTGCGTGGTGGATTTGCAGCGGTTTGAGGGAGAGGGAGGGGGTGGTCAGAATGGGGAGGGAGAGGGAAGGGAAGGGATGGTCGGAAACGGGAGGGAGAGGGAAGGGAAGGGGTGGTCGGAATCGGGGAGGGAGGGGGAGGGGGTGGTCGGAATCGGGGAGGGAGAGGGAGGGAGGGGGAGGGGGTGGTCGAAATCGGGAAGGGAGGGGGAGGGGGTGGTCGGAATCGGGAAGGGAGGGGGAGGGGGTGGTCGGAATCGGGGAGGGAGAGGGAGGTGGTGGACGGAATCGAGGAGGGAGAGGGGAGGGCTGGTCGGAAACGGGGAGGGAGAGGGAGGGGGTGGACGGAATCGGGGATGGGAAGAGAGATGGTGGCCGGAATTGGGTAGGGGAGGTGGGGCTGCCGAAATTGGGTAGGGGAAGGGAGATGGTGGCCGGAATTGGGTAGGGGAGGTGGGGCTGCCGGAATCTGGTTTTAGTTTTTTTTTTTTTTTTTTTTTTTTTTAACAAAAATTCTGTTTTTTTTTTAATTTTATTTTTAATTTTTTGACCAATCGTAGAGTGACACGTGTCTGGTAACTTGTAATAACAAGTTATGTGACCGGTTAGGATCATTTAAAGCGGAAGAGATATAAAGGTGGGATTATTTAAAATAATCCAAAGGTCGGATTGTTATTAGCGGACAGCCCAAAGGTGGGATTATTGCGGACAATTTTTCCTATAATATAAGAAAACTATGAAAATGAATATGCATAAGTGTCATATAGTGACTTTATCGCAACTCGCTCATACTAGTTACATTTGATCCTATTTCATTTTTTTTTTTAGTTTTCAATTATACTAAAGATAGATGTCATGACTTCCAATCAATGATTTAAAATTAGTTTAAAGATTACCTTATTGTTGGTTTCCGGAAAAACAAATCTCAATTATTCTCGCAGTTAATTTCCTTTTTTTTATTGTGCGTAGCTTACATCCTCCCCTCTTTCTTCACCTATATACATTATAATCAATATGTATATATTACAATAAGGATAAAATGTTTTAAACTAGTAAAAAAAAAAAAAACAAAAATATATAATTTTACATAAAAAAAAAAAAAAAAGTATTGGTGGATCGATGAATTTTTTTTTTTTTTTTTTTTTTTTTTGAAAACCAATCGATGAAAGTTAATTAGTAATTAATTAATTGGTTTAAAAAGGAAAATTTGTCAAATAACACCTTTTATAACCCTTTTGTTGGGAAGAAACACTTTATAATTTTTGTGTTTTTCGTTAAAACACACCTAAATCCAGTTTTTTTTTTTTTGCTAGAACACACCATAGGGTGGTTTTAGGGGGATTGACTCGGTTTTCCGACGTTGATTATCACGTGCCAACACCCTTCCTTTCTTTTCCCCCTTTTTTCTCCAATTACTTTCTCTTTCCTCAAAACCACCAAACCATTACCTAGCCAATCCAGTCGCTGAAACTGACACCACCGCCTAGCCAACCCAACCACGCACCGAAACCACCACCCACCAACCCTAAGCATCTCCATAAACACCCATAACCACCTCATAAACAACCCCAAACATCTTGACAAAAACCCTTAACACCCTAAAACAAACCAATTGAGAGAGAAGAGGGTTGATAGTGGTTTTCCCCCCTTCATACCTCCAATAATGATGTTCAACGCAGGGAAACTGAGCCAATCCCCCTAAATCGCCCTAAGGTGTGTTCTCGCAAAAAAAAAAAAAAAAAAAAAAAAAAAAAAACTGGTTTTAGGTGTGTTTTAACAAAAAAAAAATTATAAAGTGTTTTTTACAACAAAAGGGTTATAAAGGTGTTATTTAACAAATTTTCCTATAAAAAATTAAAAGAAAAGTTTAAATTATTAAAAACATGTATCATACACCGTACAATAATTAGAATACAGTTGTACGTTAGTATTTCTTTAGTTGTTCTACTTTGACTTGTGTAGATACAAACCATTACAACTTTGACTATTAGCATATATATAATTAACTATCTTCGAATATAAAATTAAAAAAGCTATATTTTAACAGTGTACATTGAGAAAAGCTCTAGCATTTTACATTTTTACACAATAATTTTTTTAATTTAATTTTCCATATTTGGGTAAAAAAAAATGGTTAAAAGAAGTTTTGTAAATAGTGTCAAAAGACAAAATGAAATCGCTATTAAAAAAACAGAGGGAGCAAGATTTACTTAGACTAGAAATTTAAATGAAGAGGAGTGAGTTTTCCTCATCTACATGTCTCTCGAAACACATTTAGTCTTAGATCTCTACTCATGTCATTTAGTTTATCAAATCAAATCAATCAATCTAAGTAGTATATGAAGTTATATTATTACACCATGTCTAAATAATCACAAATCTAGTTGAAAATCAATATTAATGGCATAAATTAACAAAATTAACAGCAATAATCAACAAAATTTTCTTGAATCATAGGCATTGTATAATTGTAAATCTGCCTTAAAAAATAACCAAGAAAATTAACATTTTTGAAAAAGACAATTTTTTTACTTTAATTTATGTTATAAAAAAAAAATCAAATCAAATGAAAGAGTTTAATTTGAACTTAAATTACATTAAAAAAAAGTGAAAATATTAGAAATTGAAGGCATTACTTACAACAAGGGTCAAATTGGATTGTTAAAAACAAAGCAATGACATGCAACTTTGAATTCATATCTGATAAATGGATTTAGATTGTGCGGAAGCAATGAGAGATACAGAGGTAGAAAAGAGAAAAAGTAAAATTAAGAAAGCGAGGAGAGGAAGTTGAGTAGAAAAGGTCGATGAAATCAAGAGATTGAGAAAGAAGATGAGAAGAAATGTGGAATAAGGAAGAAATAGAGAAAATTGTTGGGAGAAGAGAGAGGGAGAAAGAAAAAAAGTAGAAAACTATAAGAGATAGAGAGCGTGTGAGATATCACTGGCTAAAAAGAAGAAGAAAAAAACGGCAAGAAGAACCATCAAAGCCGGTTACTTACCCTTTTGGCCAGAGTTCTCTCTCTCTCTCTCTTTTTTTTTTTTTTTTTTTTTTTTTTTTTTTTTTTTTTGTGACGTCTTGGCTAGAGTTCTTGTACCAAGGTAATGATGAAGAAACCCCCCTTTTTTTTTTGTTACTATGAGTATTTTACTATATTGTGTAAAATAAATTAAGATATTTTATGACAAATTTTCCACTTTTGATTGAGCGGTAAACCCTTCATATATTTTTTCTCTTAAAATCCCGCTTTCTTGCTCAAATATTAGGGATTTATCTATTAAATAACACTTTAAAAGAAGATTATTACAAGATACTAATGCTCTCTTGGCAAAAATAGTAGAACATCAAACTTTTAAGGTAACATATTTTCTTGACTTGATAAGTTCAAACACAAAAAAATAAAAGAAAAAAAAGGAAATTTTGTTAGAAAAAACCATTTATAACAACTCTTTTGTTGGGAAAAATCTTTTAAAAATTTATTGGCAAAAAGAAACCCGATTGTAATTTATTTTTGTTGAAGACAACCAAGACTCGTATTCCGACATTGACCTGGTCTTTTCCGGCGTTGACTCTACATGTGCAGGTCACGTGACCTCCTTTTTACTAATCTCACCCAATTTCTTCTAATTTCCGCTAATTTCCCTCTAACTCCCTCGTTTTTATTTTTCCCCCTTTTCTTCTAATTTCCCCTATCTTCTTTGTTGAATTGAAGATCTAACAAGGGCATGATTTTTTGAATTAATCGCAAAAATAGTTTTCGGGAAATAAATTTGACCAATGATACACTAACAGAGTTATTGAATTGTTGCCCAGTTCATCATATTTAATTTGTAGGTATATTAAAAATTAGGGTTTTTTTGCCCCTTTTTTAATTTGCGCTAATTACTCTTATTTATTTCAATTATGCAGCATCCATGGCTCAATCCGTTTAACTTCTTTAAACAAGACGCAACTTCTACGCTTGCCTCCTTTCTTGCTTTGCTCATCGCCGTGGCAGAGCAATTGAAAAAAAAATCGGAAAAAAATATACCCAGAAAAAGAAACCCGCATCAATTAAATACAAAGCAATAATTAAACTTACAATTTATGGTGGGTGAAAATTATCTTCCTCGATTGATTTCCAGCTTCAGAGTGACGCCATAACAGAGCGCAGTAGAGAAGAGGATTGAATACCTCGTTTTTGTAGAGAGAGGATGGAACAAGGAGGGAAATTGGAAGAAAAAGGGGGAAGAAGAAAAATTATGACAGACTTAAGAGGGATATTAGGGGGGAATTAGAAGAAATTGGGTGGGATTAGTAAAAAAGAGGTCGTGACCTGCACATGTAGGGTTAACGTCGGAATGTGAGCCTTGGTTGTCTAAACAAAAAAATTTTACAGTCTGGTTTTTCTTTGCCAAAATATTTTTTAAAGTTTTTCCCAACAAAAAAATTGTTATAAATGGTTTTTTCTTACAAAATTTCCAAAACAAAATGATTCATGTTTATTTCTTTTTGAAACATAACATCACAACTGATATATTATCTTTACTTACCTCTATCTACCTACAAAAGGAAAATTTAACAAGAACGCATCAACCTTTGCTCCGTTCTCCCAAATTGCACCAACCTTTAATCTGCCCAAAATAAACCTAAATTTGTAATTTTTCTCAAGTAGTAAAGGTTGATGCATTTTGGGAGAATGGAGCAAAGATTGATGCGTTATTGTTAGATTTTCCTTCAAAAAATTCAAATCAAATCTCAAATTACAAAAAAAAACTCTATAATAAAAATAGAAAAGTTAAGACGAAAATAATATAATCAACCATAATCAACATCAGCCAAGAAATGCTAATGATGTTTAACATAATCTAGCTAACTAAGCTTCAAACCAAATTAAAGTACATTACTTCACAATTTACATTGTACTGTATTTAGTAAGACTATTTCGAAATACCGCTCTCGAACTTAAATATGTTTTGACCATTAAAGTCAAATACGCCGCTCATATATCTCCCTTAAACGTTATAAAAACCCCAACAAAATCCTAAAATACCCCTATTTTTTCTTCCTTTTTCTCTCTCCTCACTCCTCTAAATTCTCAGAGCAGCTGTAGTAGAGTGACGAAAATGGCGTCGGATCTAACAAATTCCGATGATCCGATGATACATCGGAAGTCACCTAGGTTGTCTGTTGAAGGAGGAGGAAAGAGAGATGCTAAATTGACTGATTGTCCTGCTTCCGGTGACAAACAGACCAATAAGATAAAGAAGAAAAGGGGTAATTCTGCCTGTGTTTCTTTCTTGATCGGTGACCCAATTCCCGATAAGGAAGCTCGCCGCCGGTGGCCGTATAGGTATACGAATAAGGTACATTGTCTTAATTTTACATTTTTTTCTTTGTAATTTTAGTTTATTTGATTAATTATTAGTTTAATTAATTGGGTTTATTCTTGCTTAGTTTTTCAAATGCATGCAATGATTTAAAAAGAAATCCAATTTTCTTTAAAGATGGGATTGATTTTATTTGTTGAGTGTTTTTTTTCCCTATTGTTATAACATTTTTTTTTTAAATGTACAATATTATGATAATGAGGGTGTAAAATTGAAATTGGGCAGTTGATAATTTAAGTATTAATCGTGTTATCATAATTATTCTATTTAAAAATGGAGGGAATTATATTCTCAAATTTGTATCTAAAAGTTTTGCTGATTTTGCACATTTTGGGAAAAAAAAAGAAGTTTTGTTTTGTTGGGTAATTTTATTTTATATAGTAATTTAAGACCTGTTGATTCTGGGGTTATAAAGATTGATCATTTAGTTGAAATGCTGTTTTTTTTTTGCAGCGCCAAAGAAATAATAATCGAGGGAACTCGATTTCAGTGTAAGTGAACAATCATTTAACCATGGTGCTTCTTTTTGTTGGTGGTGCTTATTATTATTCAATTTGTGTTTATATAATTGATGTGTTTCCATGTATTTCCACAGTGATGATGATGATGAAGATGAGTTGATTTTGGATGTAAAATGTCACTATTCGCAAGCTGAAGTTGCGAATTGTATTTTTGAAATTGGAGATTGTACATATGTAAAAGTAAGCCTCCATGCTTTTCCTTTGGTTATCCTATTGATCAATTACTATGTCCGGGATTTTCAGAAGAAGATTCTTACAATCGTCACTTGTATTACTTTGTTATTAACATTTTACGATGTGCATTTATGCATGTGTATTGAGGTGGGGGCTTGAGTGTGGATAATGAGTTAATGACCTTGGATGATTGACTACTAAGCCAAGCAAAATGCTAATATACTCCTGTGTCCTGTCTGATCGCAGCCTCTTTCAAACACATGATTGGTAGCTTACCAAGATCTACTTTATTGGTATAATTCTTTAGAAGAATTCTCTAGCTATAATAATAGAAATCTGATAGTGGTCTTGTCAAATGGAAGGGGAACATGAAAGAAAACATGAGAATGGAAGTTGCTCCTGCTATGAAATGTGATGATTTGTAATGTTAGGGTATCTGGTCTGCTAGTAGGATTGAGAACGAGGAAATGCAAGTATGCTAACCTTGAGGCTTAGTTGGGGAGATCTCCTCCACGTTGAAGTCAGTGTGGGATGCCTTAGTTGATTGAGCGTGTGGAGGGGTATTTAGTGACTCTCTGTATGATCTTGGGACACCTGGGCTGGGGTGGAATTAGTCTTTGGAGGGTGCCAACAAGACAAGCTGCTACCATGGGTGCTTGTGGAGTTGTAGGCTACGTTCATGGTTGCAGGGAGGGTTAGGTTTTCTGTTGTCTTAACCATACTGGAATTGTATGATAAGCCATAAAGCCCCCACGTTTAACTAGCCTCCCAGAATGGCTCCTTTGATCTCTGTAAATCCTGATATTATTTTGGCAGGTTGGTGGGCTTCGTACTTGTGGATCACAATGTGATTCATTCCTCTGTTATGTGAAATGGGAATCTTTTGAGAGAGGCTTGTTTCATTTATCGAAAATTTGGTGCTTGGACCCACGTGGGTACTTCAGTGCTCTGAAGAAGCTAAGAATGTTGATCTTTGTGTGCACTCCAGAGCTTCCTAATCCAGTTTCAAAGATCTAGGAGGGTGGGACATAGCTAGAATGTATAAATTCTCGGTGTGGTTTTGAGTTGATTATTAGAGGCCTAAATGGAATTATGGACCAAAGGATGGACATTATATGGCGTCTTATGGTCTCATGACTCTCAACTCCTTGAAATACTTTCAAGACCATGCATATCTTATATTCAGTGCTAAACACCATTTTTAGTCCTTTTAATTTTTTTTTTATCCATTTCCTCTTTATTCTTTCCTCACAAACTATCTATGTTTTGTAGGGTGAAAAACGGAAGAAAAATTTTATTGGCAGGATTGTAGAATTCTTCAAAACCGTGGATGATGAAGATTATTTTCGAGTTCAATGGTTTTATAGGGCTGAAGATACGGTAAAGTTATAAACCTCTTAGGGATTTAGTTTTTCTGTTGCATATTAACTCTGTTTATGCTTCATTCTTTTCCCTGCCTTGCAGGTAGGTAAAAAAAAAAAAAGACACATAAGAAAAATTTACTGAGTGTTGATTCTGTAGCACTCATTTGCTTGCAGAAATCTCAGTCAAATAGTCAATACAATGGCCTTAACCTTTTGAAAAGTTCTTGTTTTTGAGCAACTTGGAAATAAGTTGGCTATTTTCTTTTGTCGTCGTGATTGGGAACTTTAAAGATTTAAGAATTGCAACCTTTGTGTGATTGCTTTGGCTCCTTTTCAGGTTATAGATGATGAGGCAAAGCCTCATGATGAAAAGCGGTTGTTCCTTTCGGATCTTATGAATGACAACCCATTAGATTGCATTGTTTCAAAAGTCAAGATCATACAAGTACCACCAAGTGTATGTTCTCTAGTCATGTCTTTTATCGTAAATGATGCATGCTATCCTGAAGGTTGTGTCTTCTTCTGAATTTCAACTTTTAGTTGATTGCAGTTACAACAGTAGGTTCTTGCTGACATCATGATACCCATGCTTTTGTGTTGGCTATATTTTGATTATGTTACTTTTAATTTTGAAGTTTTTTGTTCTCTTTTACCTGACAGGTGGACTTGAAAACAAAATCCCTTTCTGCCTTTGACTTCTATTATGACATGAAATACTGTGTGGACTATACCACTTTTTCTACAGTTGTTGATGGTAAGTTGATGATCTTGACTGAAGGCCAGGATATGTTAAGATCTCCTTCTTTGAGTTGCATCTACTGCTGTTAGTGTGTTAGACTCTCATCACAGTGATAAGCATGAACATCACCAGATAAATTACACAAGCGATAAAAACTGAATTTTTGCCTTCTTTACTTGAATACTGTGTGGGGAGTGATGCTAAAGCCAATGAATTTAAATTGACTTGGTTGTATCTGGTTGTCTTGACATTGAAGTCCTCTTTGGTTGGTTACAGAGGAACCTGGCCTTTCATCAGGTGATAACATGAAGAAGATCCAAGCAAATGGACTCAAGCCTAATTTCTGGAACTTTTCTGCCCATAAGCCAAATAAGTCTGACATGGCATTGTTAGATTTGTACTCTGGTTGTGGAGGAATGTCAATGGGACTATGCCTAGGGGCTAAACTTGCTGGAATTAATCTTAAAACAGTAAATTGTGGACCTTGTGATCTTTTTTTGGTTTCTAACTGCTATGATTTCTTTCGTATTATTAAACTTATTTCATTGCCTTATTCTAGAGATGGTCTCTTGACATCAATAAATCAGCCTGTGAAAGCTTGAGGTTAAATCATCCCCAAGTACAAGTCAGTAAGCCCAGCTTTTACACTGTCAAGCTATGCTTTAATTTCATTGGCTGTTTACCTCTTTGAGAAAGAAGGATGTGTGTTCTTATATTATGCCATTACAGATAAGAAATGAGCCAGCTGAGGAATTTCTTGGCTTATTGAAAGAGTGGGATAAACTCTGTAAACTTTATGTTGGTAACTCTAGAAACAAGAGTATGTCCTCTCCTAGAGTTCAAAGCCAGTTGCAGTCTCCGAAAAGTGATAATTTGAGGAGCAAAAATAAAAAATCATCTGATGAGTATGAGGTTGCTTGCCTTACTGATATCTGCTATGGTGATCCCAACGAAAGTGGCAAACCTGGACTTCATTTTGAGGTTGGTTTGATTTGTCAAAATCCATGAGCTTGCTAGTCTTATTGATATCCTCCTTACTGTTGCTGCTGATGGTTGTCTTTTGGGAAGAGAGGGGGGAGGAAGTGGCTAATAATAGTTGACTTTGCTAATTACCTTGGTGTACTTAGGTGCGTTGGGCTGGTTATGGCCCGAGTGAGAGCACATGGGAGCCAATTGAGGGACTAAGGTATGCAAGTTTCATGTTGTCAATTATTTTACTTTGCTGATCATTGATATTTGCTTATTGATACACACAAATGCGCAATTTTTAGTAACTGCCAGGAGCGAATACAAGAATTTGTTCAGAAAGGTCATAAACTTGGGATTTTGCCTCGGCCGGTAAAGTATTTAGGGTTATGCCATCCTTTCACCATTTGATTTAGATCTTAATTAATCAATTTGCTAATTTCAAAAGGGGTTACTTCTTTATCTTGCATTTGGATGTGCAGGGAGATGTCGATGTAATTTGTGGAGGTCCTCCATGCCAAGGAATTAGTGGGTATAACCGTCACAGAAATGTTGATAACCCTTTAGATGATGATAGAAATCGCCAAATTGTGGTGTTTATGGATATTGTAGAGTTTCTCAAGCCAACCTACACATTGATGGAAAATGTGGCCGACATTCTGAGGCTTGCCAATGGTCAGCTTGGAAAATATGCAATTAGCCGATTGGTTCAGTTGAAGTATCAAGCAAGTCTAGGAATTATGGCTGCTGGTTGCTATGGCCTTCCGCAATTCCGCCTACGTGTTTTCCTATGGGGAGCTCATCCTAATGAGGTTAGCCACTTAATGTTTGCCGAATGGGAAAAGAAATTCAGGCAAAACAATGAAACATGATTACATGACCAGTACACCAGTAATACATAGTTATAATAATTTTTTTTTTTTTTTTTTTTATTTGAAAAGGTAAGAAAAAGAAACATTAGTCATGTGGCGATGTATACGTAAATAACGTGATAAATGATTGATGGTGCATGTTTGTCAATTACTAGAATTAGCTTGGATCGGGATCACAGGTTTAAATTTTTTTTCTAGCATATCTACAAGATATTTAAGAAAATATGCCTACTTGGACTGTCAGTTAGATGATTCAGTTGGATTATATAGGGTTCTTCAGAAGCATAGGTGGGGTTTTCTATTCATCAGTAAAGTTCAAAAATTAGTTATCAATGCTGAAGAAAAACACAGAAAATATCTCTAAAATTGCAGAAACAAGATTATGAATTTATAACATAATTGTTCATGTACTGTACAGAGATTACCGCAATTTCCTCTTCCTACACATGATGTGGTGGTGAGATATGGTGCGCCATGTAAATTTGAGGTATATATCCTTTTTGTGTATTTCAATAATATTACTTATAGCTGCTTTTCTATAGTGTTGTATCCTTATTTACTATGATATTTGATGTGAAGCGCAATGTTGTTGCATATGATGAGGATCAGTCTCCTAACCTTGAGACAGCTCTTAAACTGGGAGATGCTATTTCTGATCTTCCGCCGGTAATACCTTTACCTGTCCTTGTTCATTCGTCCTTTTGAATTCTTGCTCACTAAAATTTTCCTCAAAAGGTGACAAACAATGAAGTTCGAGTAGAGATGTCATATCGAAAACCTCCAGAAACGGAGTTTCAAAAGTATATTAGATCAAGTGAATGTGGTAAGTATTCCACATTGTTCTCCATTTGAGCCACCTGGACTTAATCTTGTGATTCATATATAGGTCAATAGCCCCATTTTTTTGTTAAAAAACTACTTTCTCGTTTGACTCCTACCTAGCACTAAATTGGCATTCTATGTGGTTAAATTTGCTCTTCGTATAAACCCTTGAGATTCTAGCTTTTGCTTTCATTAATCATTACTATATTTTAGCATTATCCTTATCTATAGTCTCGTCCTCCAATATAGTTTCTTCTGCAACAGCATACACCGGGGTTCTCATCTTGGCTAGACCCTGTTACTTCATCCAATGTTGTGAATTGAAAAAGACTCAAAGCAGACCCCTGTTACTGTCCAATCATGATAGGGAAATCCTCGATTACTCCCCCACAAGTCCCCACCTTTGGATTGGATTCATGTCTCTATACATTGTAAATTCATACAAAGTACTCCCTCCGTCCCTATTTTGTTGCCCCATTGCCAATCTTTGGGTCAAACTTAAAAAACTTTGACCATAAATTCCCGTTATTCTATAAGTAGCAATATAGTCATGTGGGATATTGTTTGATTTGTCATATTGTATATTTTATTAATATAAACTTTTTATAATTTTACGTGTATGAAAATTGAGATATAATTATTTTTTAACATGTGTCTTTGAGACCATGAAAAGTCAAATGGGGCAAAAATTTAGGGACAGAGGGAAGTATATTTGAACGTGGAATTTCCTCTATCATTTCCCACCAAATCTTATCCCTTGGCACCTTGGAACTTTTAAGCCTTTTACATGTGAAAGAAAATCATGTGCAGATCCTTCTTCCTATCCATATTATATTTCCATTTTTTTCTTAACAGACATGTGACTTCCATGATATATCGACGCTATCATCCCAGCATAAAACCAAATAGTTTCTCTAGACTGCTTGTATATATCCTCAATATATGTATTATCACTCTCTTCCAGTACTTTATCTCCCTATAATTTATCTCCTTTTAAAACTTTCCAAATCTTGTTCTTAATAATGGATTCATTAACCAATAATACCAATCGATATTAACCTTCCTCAGACACCTCAAAGTCTCAATGGGAATGCCATATGGATTAGATGAAATCGTGAATAAAGGAATTTTTTGGAAAATCGTGTTTATTAAAATCTTATTTAGTATTTGTCTATCCCATTCTGGGATAGGTCATCTGGATAGGAGTGCATCTTATCTCTGTCTTGTATCATTTAACTGCTGCAGATATGCTCAGTACTCCTGGTGCCACAGCACGGAAAAAACCTGTGCTTTATGATCACCGACCACTTGAATTAAACGAAGATGATTACTTGCGAGTTTCTAGAATCCCTTTGAAAAAGGTTGAAATTCAAGTTTTAAATTTCATATAATTCCTTCCTGTAAAACATCATAGTTTCTTTCATAAGTTCTTGGAATTAAACATTTTGCAGGGAGCAAACTTTCGAGACCTACCAGGTTTAATTGTTGGAAGAGACAATGTTGTTCGTAGAGATCCAGAATCAGATATAAGATTACCATCTGGAAAACAACTGGTAAATCTACTGTACATCTCTTTGCCCTACCCAACTCCTCTTTTCTCTACATAATGATTTCCAAAAGTAAACTATGAGTATGTGGAAGTGGAATCTGGCTACCAACTTAAGTTTTTAATGTCCTACATATGGCTACTTCATAGGGCATCCTGTATCCCTTACTTGCACTCTTTTCTCATTGAACAGGTTCCTGATTATGCAGTAAACTTTTGTAGTGGAAAATCACTGAGGTATTTGGATATATAATTTATAAATCTGATAATTACTTTAATAACTGTCCTTCAAAATGTACTTATAAAATTCCTTCTGGTTTGCATGACAACCCTGTAAAGACCATTTGGTCGACTTTGGTGGGATGAGACAGTGCCCACAGTATTGACGAAACCTGATCCTCACAGTCAGGTAGACCTTGAAGTTTTATTCTTCTTTAGCTTATAACGTGGCCCAAATTTTTGATCGGTGTTGGAGAATTATGAAGTCCAAATGTGTCAATTTATAGGTCATTTTGCATCCAGAGCAAGACAGAGTTCTCACTATTCGCGAGTGTGCAAGGTTACAAGGTTTCCCAGATTTTTACAGATTTTATGGGAGTGTGAAAGATAGGTTGGTCCATCTTTATTCTTCATCAGATTTTGTTTTATAGATGCAATCTGCAGCTTCCTTGAATGAATTAATTATATGTATGTTTATTTTTGGTAGATACTGTCAAGTTGGAAATGCTGTTTCAGTTTCAGTTGCCAAAGCTCTAGGGTATGGTCTGGGCATGGCGGCACAAAAGCTGACTGGGAATGGTCCTCTCATGACTCTCCCACCCAAGTTTGCACACACCACAATAGCTGAACATTTGAAGTCGTCAATCAAAGAAGTGACTGAATAATTTTCATTTCAATATCTGACATTGCTAATGTACTGTAGAATTATGAACTGTATGATTTAAGTGATTATTTTCTGATTTGACTTTGTAATCTGCTGTAATTTCCTTTCTTGAGCCTTCTGTGTAGTTCTGAAGTTTCTTCAGTGGTAACACACAAGAGTCGGGGAACCTGTGATAAGTAGATTGACAATTTGTACATTGTTTTCAAGTTTGGCAGTTTACTAATAATAATGTGCTCTATTTTCTTGGTGCTTAAATTTTTCCTCTATTGTTTTGGTACAACTAGTATTCCAACATTTTAAGGTAAAAAGTTACAAGACTTTCAGTCCAATCACATATATAACCCTTGAAAGGGGGAAGGTAAGGCAATCGCAATCCCACTCCCAAGCACAAGTAGATGGCGAGACTTGAAACAGTGACCTAAAAGTCATGAGGTGAGCTCTCTTTATCAAGCTTGCTTGGTTTAGTACACCAACAATATGCCTAGTAAAATTTAACATAGCAGTACAAAACTTGCCCTTAAGCAGCAGAATACTAAATTCTTATAGTAGTTGGAACTAGGTATGATTAACTTGGTTAGTTACCAAGAATGGTAATCTAGCAGAAGCTAATGAGTATCTTTTCTCAGTTACATTACCTACAAAGCTATTAGTGCATAGTAAACAGAAATGACAAGGAAACATAAACAACGCAGGCAGATAATGTATTCTTCCAGGCTTCCATCCCATTGCTTCCATATACAATGTCAGTACAGTTAGGTGTATGAGTGTATCAATCTTGAGTAGGCAGTTCCCGAAGTATACGAGGGACCTGAGACCATGAAAATAGATTCCTCTAATTCATGCTTGAAATCTGCTCATAAATCCAGAATGAGATGCCACAGTATTCTAGTCTTCTATAATGATATCAAGTAGCCGATATAGGATCCTGTAACAACAAAGTGATGTAAGCAGATAAAATGTGCATCATATCATGCAATAAAATAAATTCTGTTATGAAACCACCATTTCTACGCTTAAAGATGATCTAAAAAAAAAAACCAAAGCAATAATGTTCAAGGTATGTCGTTGAACCATTTCGAATATTATGGTCCTCAGGAAGCTTGATATGTGAAGGCACATTTAAGTACACATCAATATTGGATTGCACACAGAAGGCTCATATAGATTTAAATTGATCACTTTTAGTGAACCATGTAGCTTATAGGCTATGGCATACGGATTACAAGGGCTTCTAGATGTGCACACAAATATAGTTACAGTAATTGCCCTTAAAATGAAAATTCAGCTTACCAGCTCCCGCTGCCACCATTTTGGGAGAAGAAATCATTATCCAGTGACACAGCAAGAGCTAACACCACTGCTCTCTCTGAAAGGGTCAGTGGGCGCGCAATTTTTAAATCCTCAACCTGCGGAGAATGTATAGCAGTATAGGATAGAGAAAATTTTAGCAAGAAAGACCAAACTCTGGCACAATTGTACATAAGTTGCTCTTTCTTCAGTACAGCATACTACCTCTTCTGCAAGGCCGGTTTTCAATGCAGGATCAGAACTCTCAAATCTAATTACATATTGTCCAGCATCTGTGAGCAGCTAATACATTGTAGTGAAAAAGTTCAGTACAACAGAAGCAGTGATAGAGCACAACAGATAACTCTCAACAGTTAGAGCAATAACATCCATCATTAAACGAAAAAATCAGTTGAAGATGTCCCAATCCCAACTCCCAAGCCAATATTTGCACCATTTTTTTACTTATTGGGAAGCATTTAGCACAAAGAATACAACATTCATTACCCCAAATCAGGGTACTGAATCATGATCCCTCAAATAAAAATTGTGCAGACATCAAATACAACTGCCTTTGTGTTATTTTTACCCGATTCCTCAATATGACTCACATTTAGATTGAGTGAGCATCAGAAATAGAACAAACCTCAAAACCGAAACCTCTCCAATTACGATTTATGTCAGCGAGCACATTACCATCAAAATCTTTTATTGTATATGTCCAATTCCAAAAACCAGGATTTTCAACCACAGCAAACTGCTTGTTCCTACATAATTCAGGCCTGATATGAGGGCTACTAAACTATCAAAGCAATGAAAGTGTACAAGCAAGGAAAGCTTACCCCAAATATAGATCGTAGATTCTCTTCCACGGATGCCATCGTTGGTGTACAACACCAATCTCCTGTACACAAACATTAGTGTAATCATAGCAATGTAATTGCCCCAGACAGCTAAAGATGGAGGTGCTTAAAAAAACAATCTGGCCTACCTTTCCGTTAACCTCAGCATATATTGAGCTCGTAATCCACCAAAAGAGCCTACAAATCTAGATTAAACGTTGAACAAGTCCACAAGGTTAACAAATTCAATTGCAAAAATGACAAAAGTAACCACTGTAGACATAAAGATAGAATTATACCCTGAATAGCTCAGTGCCTAATGCATCAGTTATGTATGCAACAAAGGGACGTCTCTTACGAAGAAACTGCAAAATTTTAAAACAGCAATCCATTAAAACATATCCTGCTGTCAAAATATCAAAACATATTCAGACTCAAGTTTTCACTCTGCACAATTTCCATGTACAATACGGGATAATTCGTATCAGTTAGTTAGATGAACATCAGTTGTCTCCTACTCTCCTTTGAAGATAATACAGGAAAGATTGCAAAACTAAACAAGATTGATTGATAATATACACATTATGATGGATTTGTTACCTGTCTCAAAAGAAAATGACTCTCTTCGTGGATGAAACCAACAAGCTAGATAAAACACATAGAACAACCCAAGTAAGAATTCTACAATGACTTCTTATTCCTCCAAAAACTGACATTAAAATGCAACAGAAATTCAAGCAAATGCCAAGTGCACTTACAGTCTGAGGGTAGCTTACATCCACTATTGCATACCGATTTTGCTGCAAGGGATATTCAATAACCGTTCGTTATATAAAACTAAAAGAAATACAACAGCAAATCTTTAAGTAAGTTTAACCAAATCTAATCAAATCAAATCATCACAATGTGTAATAAATGAACAAGACAACAAATCCCCTGCTCAAAGCCAAACGCAACGTCTGCCCATTCTATATCTCGGGTAATTAATAAATTTGCTCTAGCAAGAAGAGAGGAAACTTGAACCTGCAAAATTCACATAAGCATTATAGATTGTTAGCACATAAAAAAAACCAGGTATTTAAATGTAAATGCTCCAATTCAAAACAAAGCAAATTCAAACACAACTCATATATAGTCATGCAAATATGCAATCATACATGATGCTATCCAATAATGGGAGTGATTCAATAGAAACAATACTCCCTCCGCCCCATAATACAGCTCTTGTTTTGTGAAATTTACGGAAATTACATTTTATACTCCCTCCGTCCCAATTTCCAATTTTAGACACAGATTATTACATCATGATACAATAACACTTCAGCTCTAGTAAATGATCACAGAATTTACCATTTCACAAAATTGAAACGAGGTAATGTATACATATAGCAAAGCAAACTTAAGCCATATTATGTAAATGCAAGATACAAAAACCCCATCAAAAAGAGACAGAGAATATTTATACCTCTTCAGGAGAAGTAGGTGCCAAATATCTACTAATAGATCGACTAACAAAGGGCTGCTGAAATACATGAGTTCTTAAACCACGATATTTTCTATTCCTATAATTCTTTATCCTTTTGTAAACCATATTCTTTCTTTCCTTTGCTTTCTCCAATTCCTTGTCTAAAACCCAAAGCCGAGCAAGAAAATCCCGGTCCAAAGCCGGCTCCTTTCGAACAAGGCTATGCTTAAACCGACGAGGTTCCAGCATTGGTACAGGATGTTTGGGCATTTGGGATTTTCCATCAAAATCATATAATTGAAATAACCCAAGAATTGAACTTCTAGTACCCTTTACAATGCCAGTTTTGCTAAATCTGCTAATACCCTTTAACAAACAATTGCTTGAGATATTACTCTTAAAAATTTGCTTCATCAAATGCCTACTCCAACTCATTTGCATATATTTGGCAAATAATTTCCTGCAATTGTAAACAACAAAAACTTAAGTTGAAGAGCTGGAATACAAAATTTGAAGCCAATTTTAAACACCCATTATCAGTTATCACATGTATAGATGAATGACATGATTTTCCAAGCTTTATTGAGCAATTTGTTGGAAATAAAGAGAGAATTTTATGTAAAAACATTGCTGTAAGTTACATGAATGAATGAAGAGAGAAAAAGAAAGAACCTTTAAACAATTCAAAGCATGCAAACGCCTGTTAAAAAATACAAACTTGGAGAGCAAGTCTTGTTTTGTTGTATAGTGACCTTTTTTTTTTTATAAAGGTAAGAAAAAAAAGAGGACATTAGGAGACTCTGCTCACGAGGGGAATTGTTGTATAGTGTTAGTTGAGACGATTAATACAAGAGGGGGGGTGAATTGTATTAAGTTCCTAGTGACTACTTTTTGCGGATAAATAAACAATGCGTATAGGAACTTAATCAAACACACAGTTTTTACGAGGAAACCTTCCAGGGCCCAACTGGAAGTAAAACCTCGACCCTACCTTAGGGATTTCAAACACAAAACACTTCACTATAATAGGGAAAACACCAAGTTACAACCTATTAGACACAGACCTTTATTTCACAAGTTCCTCACTGGACTTGCTACTTGATAGGACCCTATCCTACCCAATCTAAGTACCACACTTAGATTCACTCGTACCACTAAAGTACTACACGTACTGCCAAAGTACAAACTACTTGTACCATCTAAGTACAAAACTACTCGCAGCCTCACCAAAAGACTTAAACAAAACTGTGTAAAAAACAAACTATCAAATCACCCAAATAACCCAACCAATACAAATACACGATGCCTATTATGCTAGGTAAGCAATGCACGAAATTCGAAACTAATATGATAAGTTAAAAGCTTGGTAAACTTACTCGTTTAAAGCACTTAGATTTCTTCACGCATAAACTCACAAAAACCTAAAATATTTTGCTCTCTACTATTTATACAAGTAACACTTGTATAGAAAGTAGGTTTTCTAAAAAGATAAACATGTTAACTTAACTTATCTTTTAAACACGGTTTTTGTAAATCAAGTAGCATAAAATCTTTTCTGAAAATAAGTATAAAAGATTTTTATAAAGAAAACTTATCTTTCTTAATAAACTGACTTTAAATAAAAAATAATCCTTTTTGTTACGAAATCTTTTCCTAAAGTCTATCTTTTATTATCTTCCATATTTATTTTATTTACCAAGCAAACTTATCACGTTTCTAATAAATCTCCTGCACTAACCTACTTACCATAATTACAATAATTTCTAAGAATAAACTTTAACAATTATTGCTGCGCCGCATTCTGATCAGATGAATTACTTGGGCTTCAAGCATATCAAGTTCCACCAAAGAACTTAACAGCTAGTCTTCGAGTTCCTGTTAGGGAACTTAGTTCTTGTTAGAGAACTCTTCCTCTGATTTGTTTAACTTCTTCAATAAAGATCTTCTTCATGTCTTCTTAGATTCAGACAGATCTTCAATCACCAAGATTATTCTGCACCTTGACTAATCACACACTAGAGAACCTTTATTAGATGAGTTTGCTTTTAGTTTAAGTTCCTCATCATCAAAACCTTTATGCTTCAACATATAGTGACTTGATTAATCGTAACATCGTTTAACTTTATATACTGTATTTAACATTGATGGAAATTATTTCTTAAGTCAGCTTATAAATTAATTTGTACATAAGGAAAATATTAGTATTTTATCGAAAATAAAATTCTAACCCACTATTTTCTCTTACAAAATTTATTCAACTTTTTAACCTTAATAAAAATTCCAACTTTTTATAATAAGTGTCGTTCATTGTCTCCTGTCCGGGCTAATCCTACAGGTTTATATAAATTAAATTACAAGGTATAACATGATTAGATTAGATTGATAGATGCGAATTTTTAATTAGTTCTTGCTAAGTATGCTACCTCTTTAGCAAGACACAATTCTGAATATTAATGAGGGTGCAAGATTACAGGGTTTCCCAAATTTTTACAGATTTTTATGGGAGTGTGAAGGATAGGTTGGTCCATCTTTATTCTTCATAAGGTTTTGTTATAGAGGTGCAATCTGCAGCTTCATTGAATGACTTAATACCTACTCCGTACGCGATGTATGCTTGTGTAAACCAATAAATATTCCATTATTAATAGGAAAATAAGATTTTAATAATCCCAACTTTGCTCGATTTTCTTTGAATAATCCCACCTTCGATTATTCTGAAAAAATCCCAACTTTGGGGTGTGTTTTCTTCTAACAATATGCCTGGTGAATTACAACATACAAAATGCTTGCCCAAATACACAAGGTTCAAAGTAATAGGAACAAGATATCAGTATCTTAGTAACCAAGAATGATAATCCAGCAAAAACTACTGAATACCTTTTGTGATTTTGTCATAAATTGTGAATTTAGTTCTATTTTGGACAATACATTCCATAATGCATATTCGTTATTCTAAGGGAAGTTCCACCCTCCCTAAAAAATATTCCAGAATCCGCCTTTATACACAGTTTATTAGTAAAAGGTAAAAACTCACAGTTGTATCAGTAATCAGTAGCAACCTTAAACAAAACAGGCAGATAATGTGCTCTTCCAGCCGATTCTTTGATTTCTCGACCACACAAATGAAAAGCCCATTGCTTTCATTTACATTGCCAGTACAGTTAGGTGTATGAGTGTATTGTCATTGTGTACACAGTTTCCGAAGAAGGTGACAGGCCAGAGACCATGAAAATAAATTCCTCTAATTCATACTTGAATCTGCTTGTATTTCCAGCATGAGATGCCACAGTATTCTACTCAGTGACAATAAATGGGACGCCCAAGAACCTGGTAACAACAAAGTAAAATAAGCAGCCAGAATGTGCATATCATGCAATAATTAAATTTTGTTACGTAACCACCATTAAACTATAGAGCAGATCAGCAGAAGGCAGAAGTAACCCAAGTACAGATTAATAATTTTGCTATTCTTCTCCACTTCCTAGGCTAGTCAAGGTATGTTGATGAATCATTTTGAACATTATGATCCCTCAAGAAGCTTGATATGTGAAGGCATATACACATCAATATTGGATGGCACACAAGAGGCTCATATAGATTTTCAAGCAGGAAAAATAAATATTAATTATCATTTACAAAGGCCACAAGCTACATGGTTTATCTTGAATCTCAATTTTATATAATATTCCTTTTTAAGGCTACATATGAAGCCCACATGATTAGGCCAATAGCATAGACAAACACGGTTGTTCCTAGAAATGCACCAACATAGAAAACACGCACACACCATAGGCCACAAAATAGCCCGCATTTTGCTCCTTTTCTTCACCCTCTTAAAAGGTGTGCTTGTGTTTCAGGATGGGGAATTCCATGTACAGAAGTAATTTCATCCACAGTACCATGAGAAAATCAATAACTCTCCAGTCAAAGCTTAAATATGGTGTGACATTTATAAATGCAACTTAAGATAGTAACTGTAGCTTGTAGGCAATAGCACAGTACAGATTGCAAGGGCTACCAGAAGTGCATGCAAATAAAAGTAATTTCAAAATAAAAACTCAGCTTACCAGCTACCACCATGTCGGGAGAAAAAGTCATTATCCAGTGACACAGCAAGAGCCAACGCCACTGTTCTCTCTGAAAGGGTCAGTGGGCGGGCAATTTCTAAATCTTCAACCTGCAGAGAAGGCATAGGAAAGAGGGAAAATTAATGAGCAGGATCTAAACTCTTGCACAATTGTACATAAGTCTATTTTTTCGGTACAACATATTACCGCTTCTGCAGGGCCGGTTTTCGATGCAGGATCAGAACTCCCAAATCTAATGGCATATTGTCCGGCATCTGTGAATACCTAATACATTGGAGTGGAAAAGATCAATACAACAAAAGCATCGATTGACTATAACAGGTAACCCCTCTAACTAGTTAGAACAATAACATAAATCTCTAGATGAACAGATCACAAGTTATTTCTATTCAAAAGTCCAGAAGACCACAACAGTTGAAGATGTCCTATGCCAATATTAAATTCAGCCAATCACTGAAAAGGAGTGATTTCCTAAGACCTAGTGGCAGGTTCAGTACACATATACACATCAACACAAGCAAGCGAAGACACAGCATCTCACAGATGTATTTTTAGATTTTTTATAATTGTCCCTGTGTCAGAGGAAGAGGGGGAGATAAAGGCCACAAAAAAAAAAAAAAAAAAAAAAAAAAAATCAACAATAGGGCTAAATATGACACTGTGGCACAGAGTAGATTTAGTTATTGGCACTGTAGCACAGAGTAGATTTAGTTATTGGCACGATCTCTTTATTTCATGTCAAAATGTAAATTTGAAGCCTGGCATGTCATATTACGCATGCAGAACTTCTAACCCTTAAAAATTGATGTAAATTTTCTTCCAATTCTTCAGAATTTGAAACATGCAGAAGCTTGCTTCTTTTACACACAAATTAAATAATCATGTTGAATGGTATTCCTTCTATGTTCAACACAACAACAGAGCTAAGAAATTGATGATGCAGATCGAAGCTTTTTACCAACATAAACAATACAATATTGCTAAGAACTAATAAAGTCAGATCACCTCAATCTTAGCATTTGTTTTAAACTTTTAAACAGTACTCCTAGTTAGGAACGGGTACTGAGAATGTAATCCACTCAAAAAATGTATAACAATTTTCACATAGGCCACTTTCTAAAATCAATTTGCATAATTTGTCAACTAATGAGGAAGTATTTAGCACAAAGAATGCACATGCATTACCCCAGATCAGGAGGACTGAATCATGATCCCACATATAAAAAGTTGTGCATAAATCATATACATCTGGCTTTGTGTTATTTTTACCCAATTCCTCAATTTGACTCCCAATTAGAATATAGCCACTTAGTTGAGATTGAGTGAGCATCGGAAACAGAACAAACCTCCAAACCCAAACCTCTCCAATCACGATCAATCTCCGCGAGCACATTACCATCAGCGTCCTTCATTGTAAATGTCCAATTCCAAAAACCAGGGTTTTCAACCACAGCAAACTGCTTGTTTCTACGTATTTAAGGCATGATATACGAGTTAAGGGCTACTTAACTATCAAAACAATGAAACTAAAATTGTACAGGCAAGGTAAGATTACCCCAAATATAGATCATAGATTCTCCTCCAGAGATGCCATCTTTGGTGTACAACACCAATCTCCTGTTCACAAACATTCATTTCAGAGTTGTCATCTTAATGGAAAATTGAAATCAGCACTAGTTTTCAAATTATATATCATTAGACAGGAAAATAAGTGAAACCTGTATTGAGAAAGGGTCATCCAAATGGAAAAGAGTACTTAGAACCACAGCAATAGTTTTGTAGGCACGAACTTCTAACATTTTATAAACTAATTGCCTAAGAGTGCTAAATATCAGGGTACTTTAGAAAAACAAAATGGCATACCTTTCCATTAACCTCAGCATATATTGAGCTCGTTATCCACCAAAATGGCCGACGAATCTAGATTTTACATTGAACAAGTCCACAAAGTTAACAAATTTGCATGTGAAAATGATAGAAACCACTTTAGACGAAGAGAAAGAGTTATACCCTGAATAGCTCAGTGCCTAATGCATCAGTTATGTATGCAACAAAGGGACGTCTCAGACGAAGAAACTGCAAAATTGCAAACCAGCAATCCCTTAAACATTTCCTGCTGTCAAAACTTTGAACATACTCAGAATCTATTTTTCACTGTGCTCAATTTCCATGTGCATATGGGCACATCCATGTGCTTATGCGCACAGTTAAAATTGCTCGGAATATTTTCTGATGTTAGGGTGTCGCCAGTGCTTAGTCATTGGATAATTGTAGTCACAAATGCAAGCTCATCATCTCAAAGAAGGTAGTTATCTTAATAAAATTCAAAAACTAGTTCAATTCTATCAAAATTAGCTAATTTGGACTGGACTTGTAAACTTTAGACTTGAATTCGAGACATCCCTTTAGAGGACAAAAATCTAAGATTTAATGAAGATACTTTCAAACTTCAATCTGAAGTTTTGGATTATGCTGAATGTACTGTACGAAGTATATTTCAAATCCAATTTCCACTTTCTTGACTGAGAATGAGCCTATTTCAATAAACTTTAGGCCATCGAATACATATCCTTCTAAATCCACCCTTCCAAATATTCGATGCTCAAATATTTGAACCACTCCTTCTGAGTTCAGAAAAGAAAAAAAAAGAAAAAAAAGCACCAATGCAAACCATTAAATTACATCAGACAGCCATAACCTTTTCCTTTACAGAGATAGATTAAGAAGGGTAAGAAAACAGGTGCCTCTTTTGTATCAATTTGCATATCTCCTGCTGAATGAACACTGTTGGTCTCTCTGAAAAACAATTCCACTCTTCGAAATCAATTGTCTTATATTTTCATATGATACTCCTTCCATTCCAAAATACACAATACACTAATTGAGATTTAAATTATTATCTTCCCCATCATATATATCCTAAACTATATATTTTCAGTGTTTAACTATGTTATTAAGGATGGTCAAATTTAAGGACACTGCAATGTAGCATATGCTTTTGAAGGAGAGGATAATGTAATGGAAAGCAAGATGTTCTACATCAGGCGTCACGACATCAGTAGCATTGTTTAGATTTTTTTTTTTTTTTTTTTTTTTTTTTTTTTTTTTTTAAAGCATTACTTGTCTTCTATGAGGATTATTAGGGGAAGAAGCAAAACTAAACGAGATGCAAGGAAAAAGGTAAGCAAATGGCAGTAGGAATATAGCTTATTGATTGCACAAGTAAAAATTAATGCTTTATAGTGTTGCATGATTCTGAGTCAAATCTGATCATTTGTTCAACAACTGTCTCAATTAAAAAGTTCTTATATATATTGAATTTTCCAACAGCAACAAAAAACGGCAGTGGTAAATGAAATACGGAACCAGGTTACTGTATTTAGCCATTAACTATTTTCAAGGCATTTAAAAGGTCCTGTCAAGGAAAAAGGTAAGCAAAAGGATCTCTTACAGACCAAAACACGATAAATAAATGTAACATAATGACTGTCATAATATTTTTTTTTGAACAAAGACTGTCATAATATTTAGATAATGATGGATTTGTTACCTGTCTCAAAAGGACATTACTCTGTTCGCGGATGAAGCCTACAGGCTAGATAAACACACAGAATAACCCAAGTCAGAGTTCTACAATGACTTTATTTTCCTTTGGAAACTGACATTAAAATGCAACAGAACTTCAAGCAAATGCCACATGCACTTACAGACTGAGGGTAGCATACATCCACTATTGCATACCGATTTTCCTGCAATGGATATTCAATAAGTTTTCATTATAAAACTATAAGAAATATAACATAGCAACAACTTCCAGGTAATCAAGGGTCTGGGAATGATTAATGCCTGAAATCCGCATTTTTAAAGATATAAAATTCTGACAAATATTCATGATTAGCATACTCCATAACAAATTATTGGTGGTGCTTAGCTTGGGGTGGTACTGCACTGGTCAAAATATTGACAGTGCAGAGATCATAGCTACAAATATCAAACCAAACTCCATAACTTTAACCAAATCAAATCATCACTTTGTGTACGCTAAGCAAACTATAACATTGTTTGTGGTAGTTTAGAATTTGACCCAGTCACTTTGGGCTTTGTTTCTTTCCAAGTAAAATGTTCCAACTTCACACTTTTATAATCTTGTTTATGCACATATAGCAATTACTGAACAAGACCACAAATTACCTGCTCAAAGCCAAACACAAGGTTTGCCCATTCTATATGTCGGGTAATTAATAAAGTTGCTCTAGCAAGAAGAGGGGCAACTTGAGCCTGCAAAATTGACAAGCATTATAAATATTTAACATATAAAAACCAGGTACTTAAATGTAAATGTTCCAATTCAGAAAAGCAAGTTCAAACACAACACATAATCTTGCAATCATGATGCTATCCAAAAGTAGGAGTATAATACTATACAATAAGCTAATATACCATAGGCTATCACAAATAACACCCTCCAAGTACAAATAAACAGCTTATGATATCCTGTTCAAAAGAAAGACATGTGCATGAGATATAATAATGAAATCAGACAACCATTTAACTATTAAACACAGCCTAAATGATTTCACAAAGTTATTAATCCACGATCCATATAAAGGCTATATGTTTCATAACTGGGTTTGCAAATTAAGGGATGAATATGAAACAATGATGTATGAATGATCCCAAGCCCTGTTCCAGGAATAGCTTAACTGATACACCACAAAGTCCAACCCTTCATAGATGCAGATACCTTCCTCATGACCCTATCAAATCAACAAAACAAGGCAAACCATGCTTTGACTTGTTAACCTAGAGACATACAACATTACAACAACTTGTTCCCAAACCAAACAGACATTGACCAATAAAACCTTCAGCCCAAATTTTCATTCAAAAAGCCTCATGATACTATACAGTTCAGCTATGTCAAATGATAACAGAATCCACCAATTCACAAAATCGAAACGAGGTAATGAATCCACCATTTTATGTAAATGCAGGATACAATAGCTCATAATAAGCACAAAAGAACACACCACTCAATAGCTAACTCAATCAAAAGGGGACAGAAAATAATTTTACCTCCTCAGGAGAAGTAGGTGCCAAATATCCGGTAGTAGATTGACTAACCGGGGGCTGCTCGAATACATGTGTTCCTGAACCATGATATTTCCTATTATTACTTATCCTTTCATAAGCCATTTTCTTTCTCTCCATTGCCTTCCCCAATTCCTTGTCTAATACGCAAAGCCGAGCAAGAAAATCCCGGTCCAAATCCGGCTCCTTCCGGGCACTATGCTTGAATCGACAAGATTCCATCATTGCTACAGGATGTTTGGGCAATTGGGGTTTTCCATCACAATCAAACCCTCCCCCATGTAATTGAAATAACCCAAGAATTGAACTTTTAGTACCCTTTACAATGCCAGTCGTGCTAACACCCTTTAACACATAATTGCTTGACACATTATTCTTAACAATTTGCTTCAAATTCTTACTCCAACTCATTTTACATAAATTTGACAAACAATTTCCTGCAATTTAAACAATATAAACTTAAATTGAAGAGCTGAGTATACAAAACTTAAAGCCAATTTTAAATACCCAGTATCAATTATCACAAATATAAATGATTTTACAATCTTCTAAGTTTGATTATATTGAATCATTATATCGATTTCTTGAGCAATTTTTGGAAATACAAGAGAAAAATTTAATGTATAATTTATACTCCAAAGTCAGTGAAATGATAAGAAAAAATAAATAACAAACAAACCTTTATTAATATTCAAGCGGGCAACTTCTGATGATCGTCGTAGTAAAGCTTGGGAGAGAGATTTCCGAGGAGCAGAAGAAATTAGAAACCTCTCGAACTCTTTGGCCAATCTGGGTTTTTCTCTTTCTTTTTATTTTAGGTGTTATTTCATTATTAATATTTTCAATTCTCCAAGATGCAATATTCAACTTTCTTTTACATTATAAAAAAACGTCTACTCACGAGATTATAACTTAATTTATCGAAAAATAAAAAATAAGAAAAATTGATATCCATGAAGAGGCCCATATCTTGATGCGTCGGGGTAGAATGACCTAGAGAGGCAACATAATCTAATGTTCGATTTCCTTCACCATAGATTTGTCCATAATCAAAAGCTGAGTGAGAATCAAAAGCGAGTGAGACTCAAAGTATGCAGGGTGTTAATTTTGAACTCGTATTTTATAGCTTAACTAGTATGTAGTCCGGACGTTGCATCACGTTGTTACTTTTAACGTTACTCCGTAATATAAAAGAGGATTAAAGAGAATAATTCTCCATTGTTTTGGAATTATTGAGGTTATTCCACTTTATTCATTTTATGTAGACTACATAATTTTTTATTTTTGTAAAAAAATAAAGATAAATTTATTTATGTGTAGATAAAGTACATAAATTACAATGGGCTAAAATGTTAAGAAATGTTATCATACAAGTGAAGTAGGTTTAAAAGCTTTAGAACATTGATTTTATTTATTAGTCTATCTGCCCTAAATATAGTTCTCATTTGATAATTCGGGCCATAAATTTGTGTTAATTTATAAGAGATTATATGTTCAAGTAAAATCTTGTTAGATTCGTAGCATGGTATATATTATTAATATCAAGTTTGTATAATTTTTACGCGTATGAAAATAAAGATAACGTTTTAAGACAAGTTTTAGATATTGTGAATAGTCAAGAGTTATATTTAGGGACGAATAAAATAAGATTTTTAATTATTAATGACTAGATAAGGTCCCTAAATTATTTAGCTGGAAATAATACTCCTTGTTAGCTAAAGGATCAAATTGCCTCGGACCAAAATGCTACCAATACTTTAATTTAAGGACCGTATTTGACCTTAACTCGTGCTAAATGATTGGCAGTTTGGTAATTTGGTAATTTCACTCTTATTTCTCTTAAGATTTCAACGCTTATAAGAAATCAATTTTAATTTAGTGCAGAAACCAAGAAATTCTACCAAAAGAAAGTCTCGCGTCCTCCATATTTTGGTAATGAAATCTTATCCTTTTTTTTTCATTTAATTTTGCTTGCTAAATTTCTTGTGAATTGTGATATACCCTCTTTGTTGGGAAACTTTTGTAGTTTTGTTTAAATTTTGGTGCATATTCCTGTATTTTCCGTTCTATAAAGTTGGGGTTTAAGGAATTTTTTTGCTGTACAGAATTCAGAGAATGATGAATATGATTTATTTTGCTTTATTGGGTAAATTGAAATATTTATAATTTGATGTGAGAATCTGGGTTTAATAATTTTAGTTCAATTGTTGCTTGTCTGCTTGGTATGGTTTTAATTTATTATATATGTTTAATAATTAAGGATCTAAAAGTTTTGTTCATATGATAGAATCATATAATGCTCAAATTTGATTGGAAGTTGACAAATGCTAAGGTGCTTAAAGTTGCCTTCTTTAGTTTGATTGAGCCTTGGGAAGGTTATATTTTTAGTTGAGCTGCTTATAAGGTGATTGGATATAGATCAAACCATGAAACTCGAATTAGATTGGAAATTGAAAATCGACCATTGAGGTGGTTGTTGGCAATTGATCTAGAAACCCGTCTCTTTTGGAGAACCCAATTGGATATTCTTAATATTTTTGGCTTGAGCTCTACATAGGATGAATCATTAGCGCTATTAGGAGTATAGGAGCAAGAATATGGTAGGCCGGTCTGTGAAAAGGAGCTTGCAAGTAAGATGAACTTGTGATTAGATCATTAGAGCATGAAGTTTTATGTACAAACTGTACAAGGTTGTGTGGTACAAGTAGAAGGCAATGCTATAAGTTCGGGCTTCAAATTAGTTTAAATGTACAAAGGGAGAGTATTTCCATATAGTATGCAGCGATTTGCAAGTTTGGAGATTTAGACAAATAATAGGTAATGAAGAAACTGCGTGTAATGTCATTTTGGCTATTTATTTCTGTCTGATTTGTTCACTAGTCTACAGCAAACAAGGTTTTAATTCACTATTTAAGTAGTTATATGCATATAGCTAGTTTGGAAAGAATATAGTTATTCTAGGAAGCAATTCATGATGCCATTGTCGTTTTCATATCTGATTTCATATATATGACCTTTTGACTGCTTTCCAATGTTCTAGACTCCTCTCATTTTCTTTCCTAATTTTCTTGTGTTTGTGCCACTTTTAAGGCGTGTTATTGTGACTTACAATTGTCATCGTAAAGTATATAGATTATAGGACATCATCTCATGTTGTCCATGGTCTTTCCTGACAGGAGTGAGGGAAAACTTCTTCAATAGGATTAACCAGTTGTAATCACAGATATAAGTATCGAAATCCCAAAAGCAACCACTGGAGTATGATTCTCTAAATTAAGTAAACTTCCTTAAGAAACACAGCCTTTTGCCAAAATCTTATTTGAGCCAGTTTCTAGGGATGAAGTCATGTTGGCTCTCTTCAGGAATGAAATATGTATTCCAATCTAATTTGTTTCGACAAGCAAACGCCTCAGTGCACATCTGTGTGCCAGGCTGCACAATTACTTCTATAGTTAAATTGAACAGGCCCCCCGACTGTTACTGTAGAGCTGCTGCTTCTGTGGATTACAGCTCTTGTCTAGGTGTGTGGAGTGTGGATGATTCTATAATTATTATTGTGCCTCCCCCCCCCCCCCCCCAAAAAAAAAAAAAAAAAAAAAAAAAAAATCACCACCTAACTCTAAGCACCTTAATAACCTTCACTGTGTTCTAATTATATTGGATTAGGAAAGGGGATGGATATAAAATTGAGGTGAAAGGCAAGTGAAGAAGAAAATGTTGATATACTTCTTAACTAATTGTAGAGTTAAGTGGAATAGTTTGCTTTTCTGTTATTTTGAGACCCATTTAAGGGGTGGAATTGCTCCTGCTTCTGTTTTTTAATGACTCGTAGGGTGTGTCTTTCTCCTTGTTAATCTAATTTGAGCTGGTCAAATATTGAAGAAATGTTCTAGCAATTACGTGTCCCTTTTTATCATAAGCATGCTCATTTTCACGTGCATTACATATTGTTAATTCAAACTGTCTGTTCCATCCCCTATTTGCTTATGTTGATCCCAGATACATGCATTTGATGCAACCATGTTGTAAAGTTTGAATTTTGAATACAAGTTGAAAGTGTGGCTTTATTTTGTTCTTCTTACCCCTGACTTTAGTCAGTGATTTCAGGGGCACAGTGTGCTTCAAAATCCTTCTCAGAAATGGCACCTATAGTTCCAGGTGATCGTCTACATCAATGTATATGTATTCCTCATTTGGTATATGTATTGCTCACACTTCTATTGGAAATACAGGAGCAGTCATCGTGATTATGGGTGTTAGCGGTGCTGGAAAAACGTAAGTCGTAAAAGTTTATGTAGGATGTCTTGTGATATGTGCATGTCTTCATTCTGTTGAACTGTTCTGGGGGATTACAATCATTTTTTGAACAGTGTCGAGATGTTTGCTTTTATGCTTTATTGATTTCACATCTTTCCAAGGAAAGGACACTGTTGGCTGGATCTGCGTATTTTCATTGAATCATTTTCTCTGAGGAAAAAAAGAATGAATATGGTTGTAATGTCTGGATGGAATTTTATGGTAGAGTTATAAGAAAACCTCGCATATTGAAGAACTAAAAGAGATAGACATGATACACAACTCATTAGTCTGGATTCGGCTGCTATCCCTTGATGAGAGTAGTGATTTTTATGCTGGACATAATCCACTAATGCCTTGCTAATATTTGAAATTGCAAAGATGAGTGTACTGTTATACATATTACTTTATCAAAACCACTCGTGTCATGCAATGATGTTGTACTGTCGGTAAAATCTGGAACATGCATGCACCTATGGCTGCTATGGGAATGGGATCATATCTTATTGGATGTCCTTATGTTTATACATCATTCGAAATTTGCTGATGATCGTTTGCCTTTACTGATGTCTTGTGATTTTTAATTTATCAGAACTATAGGTAATCATCTAGCTGAAGCTGCAAACTGTGCTTTTCTTGATGCAGATGACTTCCACCCGGATTCTAACAAAGGTAGCTACACTATGTAAACCCGGAGCTTTACAGTAATACATTTCCAGTTTATACACTAATCTACTGATTAGTGGAGATAAGTCATCTAGATTTTCTTATGCATTGCCATTCATAAATAGAAAAGATGAGAAAAGGAATTCCACTCTCTGAGGAAGATCGGATGCCTTGGCTTCAAATGTTATGCAAAGCATTGAAAGAGCGCATAACAAATGGGGAAATTACAGTTCTTGCTTGTTCAGCGCTGCGGAAGAATTACAGAGAAATTCTTAGATCATCAGACCCAAATCATATTCCAGGGAGACAGGGTAGCTCAGTGAAGTTTGTTCTTCTTAATGTTCCCGTTGAAGTCCTTGCTGACCGGCTGAATAAAAGACTGACAAATGGGGAACATTTTATGCCACCTTCATTGCTGCAGTCTCAGTTACAGTTACTTGAGATTGATGCCTCTGAAGAAATACTTCAAGTTGATGCTACACAGGATCCCACAACTATTGTGGAAACTATACGACATTCGCTTGTCCAGTGGAAGATAATTGAAAGCTACTGACAGGACTGCTATACAGATACATACATTTCTGATTTGCCCGATTCTATATGGCTTCAATTCTTTTCCTGGATAAGGTCGAATAGCTTAATTCTTGAATAAGTAGATATGGAAAAATTATTGTGTTGTAACTAATTCAACAACTATGAATGTATATGTTGTTGATGATCCATTGTGTAGAAACTTAAAAGATGGGTGTAATGGATGATTCAACTGATGAAAACAAGATTTTACAATCCATCATGTTAACATGCATTTGGCAGAGACGTGCATGGTCGAGCACTCGAGCAGAGTGGTAACATATTAAGCGATAAAAGCAGTGTAAGTTAGGGTGGTACCGTGGTAGTAACCAAGGATAAGCTGAACGAAAACTGATTCTAGTGATTGACCATATCTAAGACCGATATAAATGGACATCATTCATTGAAAAGAGAATTTAAAATTTAAATAATGAAGATGCTATAGAAATTGAAGCTATGATGCCATGGACAAAAACTGTGGTAAACGATATGAAACTATAAGGCTAGGTTATCATGAACATATTAAAAGAATATGATTTATGTTTTTTTTGGTGCTAAAAGAATTTGATTTATGTGAATGACTTGTATTGGTACATCTTGTTATATGTAATTAAATGCATTTTTTTGGTATGGTTTTGATATTGTTCTTGAAACATGTTTGATCTTTTTTTTTTTTTTGCATAAAAGGTTTTAATATTGTTCTTGAAACATGTTTGCTCTTTTGTGTGTTTAGGTTTATCAAAAAGGTAATCATTTTGCACCTGGTAAAATTTGTACGGTATCGCAACAGTTGTTAAATTTTCAAATTCGTTATGTAAATAAGATGAAAATCATCCTTACGACACAAAAAATCGTTATTCTATCTCTTCGAAAATGGAGATATACCACAGTGCAAAATCTATTCAACAATTGTAGTTTCGAGGAAGAAAACCCTTATTTGACTCAATTTTATGTATTTGTTTTAAAAAATATATTGATAACACATTAATATCTCTTGTGATATTCTAAATCAACCAGTTTATAATTTTTCAGCTTTTCACACCTTAATATCTGTTGTGATCTTATGTATCAATCATTAATGATTTTCAGCTTTTCACACCTTAATATCTGTTGTGATTTTCTCAATCAACCATTTATAATTTTTAGTTTTTCATATCTTAATATCTGTTGTGATCTTCTAAATCAACCATTTATGATTTTTAGCTTTTCACACCTTAATACTCCATATCTCTTATGATCTTCTAAATCAACCATTTTATGATTTACAGTTTTTCACACCCTCAATATCTCCTGTGATACCATTTTATGATTTTGACACATTAATATCTCTTGTGATCTTCCAAATCACCATTTTTTGATTTCATTCTCATTTAAACAAAAATAGATGATTTTCAAAACGAAAAAAAAAAAAAAAAAAAAAAAACCCAACCCGGCCCAACTTAAACACACAAACCGGGCGCCGCTCACCAACTCACCTCTCCAATAAACCCCCCCCCCCTTTTTTGTCAGGGAAAAAAAAAAAAGAAAAACAATTTCAAACGTCTCTCAAAAAATTATAGCCGTTGGGACCCTTGTGAAACAAAAACCCTAATTGCTATATAAAGCCCCAAATTCAACCATCATAAACACAATTAATCAATCTGCTCTCTCTATCTCTCTCTAATTCCGCTGCGATCTAATCATTCTCTCTCTAATCAGCTGATTTGCTCTCTATTTACAAGCTAACAATTTTTTGCAGGAAATTTCGTTTCATTTCTTCAGTTCTTTTTCATAATCGTGTTTTTGCTATTATTATTTGTTTGTTGTTTTTGTTTTGGTTTGTTTTGCTGTAATTGTTTTGCAGAAATTCTTTCTACATGAATCCCAGAAGTGCTTTCCAAGAAATCGCCCTTCCCAGGAAGAATTCCAAAGAAAATGTAATTTTTCTTCAAACCCTAATTTTTTCTGTTTCGATTTTCAATTTTTTCGTGTTCTGCATCTAATTTTGCTAAGTTAGATTATTTTTTGAACCATTGTGTGAATTTTACAAATTTTCCGCTGAATTTGTCGATTATTCTGGTGTTTATAAGATTAATCAATTGTTTGGGGAGTTCAATTTGAAAAATTAAATTGGGGAATTTTTTTTTGGATGACATTATTTATATCTCAATCAGTTTTATTTTGATTAATTTTCTATTTTAATTGCAATTTACAACGTTCATGGCTCAAAATGATCATGAATTTGATTTAATAATTAATGGGCTGTGTTTCTGACTTTTTTTTTTTCTTTTGATCTTTGGCAGTTGGACAGGTTCATTCCCAACAGATCAGCTATGGATTTTGATTACGCACACTACATGCTGACCGAGAAGAAAGGTAAGGAGAACCCGGCTACAAGTTCGCCTTCGAAGGAGGCGTATCAGAAGCAGCTGAGGGAGGTGTTCAACATGAACAGGACAAGGATTCTTGCTTTCAAGAACAAGCCACCTGCTCCAGTTGAGTTCATGCCCCAGGAGTATGCTTCTGCCCAGCAATCGAAACCCGTTAAGCCTCGCAGGCACATCCCTCAGGTAGTTTTCATATCTTGTCTATATTGAATCAACGAAATAATTTGTGTTAATGAAGAAATGTAGTCCAATAGTACACTGATTCAACTAGCTACTCAAGATTTACTTGACTGTAATGTCGAACTTAAAGAAGCTGTATCGTAGTTTGTTGTTGTCATCATTTAAATTGTTGGGTTGTTGTTTCAGTACAAGATATCCTTAGGCTGTTAGCATCAGAGGGATAGTATTCATTTTTGAGAATTTGTTTCTATAATGTGTTCAATTTTCTGTTTGTTCTGATCTGATTATCGATTGCTCGATTGCAGACTTCAGAGCGTACATCAGATTGATAAAATTAATTTTTGAGAATTTGTTTCTATACTGTGTTCAATTTTCTGTTTGTTCTTATCTGAAATCGATTTCTCGATTGCAGACTTCAGAGCGTACATTGGATGCCCCCGATCTCTTGGACGACTACTACTTGAATTTGTTGGATTGGGGTAGCAGCAATGTTCTAGCAATTGCTCTTGGAACCACAGTGTACCTTTGGGATGCGTCTAGCGGGTCTACTTCAGAACTGGTTACAGTTGATGATGACAAGGGTCCTGTAACCAGTGTGAACTGGGCTCCTGATGGTCGTCACATTGCCGTTGGCTTGAACGATTCCGAAGTTCAGCTATGGGATTCGACATCCAACCGGCAGGTAGTTAAACAATCAATTTTACAGTCATTGCCTTTACTGTCTGGTTGAGTTTTGTTGGTTCCATTCTGACTGTCTATGCTTTGTTCCTGCAGTTGAGGACTCTGAAAGGAGGCCACCGAGCTCGTGTTGGGTCACTAGCTTGGAACAATCACATCCTCACAACTGGATCGATGGACGGGAAAATTGTTAACAACGATGTGAGGATTAGAGACCATGTTGTGGAGACCTACAGAGGACACCAGCAAGAGGTTTGTGGCCTTAAGTGGTCAGCTTCAGGCCAACAGCTTGCTAGTGGAGGCAATGATAACATCCTTCACATTTGGGATAGATCGATGGCATCCTCTAATTCTGCTACTCAGTGGCTACACAGGCTCGAGGACCACACCGCTGCAGTGAAAGCCCTAGCTTGGTGCCCCTTCCAGGGTAATTTGCTGGCTTCTGGTGGCGGTGGGGGTGACCGATGCATCAAGTTCTGGAACACCCACACCGGTGCTTGCTTGAACTCGGTTGACACCGGATCACAGGTCTGCTCTTTAATGTGGAGTAAGAATGAGCGCGAGCTGCTGAGTTCCCATGGTTTCACTCAGAACCAGCTGACCTTATGGAAATATCCTTCTATGGTGAAGATGGCTGAGCTTACTGGCCATACATCCAGAGTTCTTTTCATGGCTCAGAGTCCTGATGGTTGCACAGTGGCTTCTGCTGCAGGAGACGAGACTTTGAGATTCTGGAATGTATTTGGTACTCCTGAAGTTGCTAAGCCTGCACCAAAAGCTGCTCCTGAGCCATTCGCTCACGTAAACCGAATCCGGTGATCAACTTACTACCCACCCCTAAGGGAAGACAATCTGCAGTTTCGTTCCGTATATTTTGTGAATTTTATCTGCTCTTGTGAAATGTTTGCATTTTGTTGGTAAATAGGAACATTGGCTGTATTTAATTTGAGATAATATGTAAATGAAATACTTCGAATACTTTTTATATGTACCTGTAAAGAAAAGTGTTGAGTGCTGTGCTCAACAGTTTTGTTGATATATCACATATAAATGAAATTTTGTTTTCTGATGCATTTCATTTCTCTTCAATGTTTCTTACGTAGTATATACTATATACTTGAGCACATGAGGTATTAAGACTTTCTTCACCAACAATTTTAATTAAGGTTTGCTGATTGTGTGACCACCGGAACTTGAGGGATAATCTCCGGTGGCGAATACGCCTCAAGTCCTCAACAAAGAGTTGATTGAGTATATTTTTACCTACCAAGTTTGTCAACCTTTAGATAACTGCAACTATGCAATAACTAATAAATCATTTTTATTTTTTATTATGTGATTTTTAAATTTCTAATTAAAAGGTTTAAAACACTGCAAAAGAAAAACATTGGACTGTTCTGCCTTCAGTAAAAAAAAAAAATAAATAAATAAATAAATAAATAATAACATTGTCTTTGTTTAATGTCTTTGTTTAATGCCTATTGTGAAACTTGCTATCATTTTCCAATATGCCTAAAAAAGAAAAAGAAATTGACTGGTAGTTTTTGTTGTAACGCTATAAATCACACATTTGGTCAATATTGGAATCTTATCAAAAGAAACAATAATTAAAGACTGCTTGCAGGACCATCCAATGAGATGTGAAATTTATTCACTTTAAGAAGTTAAAGTCACTATCTCAGGCTCTTTAATTCAATTTCAGTTTAGTTTGCTAAGACCTTGACCTTAATACGCCCTTTTTAAAGTTTAATAAGTTTTGATAAAGGCTCGTAACAAAAAAAAATTGCTAGAGCCAATGAATAAATGAACACTGAACAGAGTCCAAGTGTCAAGAATTATAACCAGAGACATTCACAATGATCAAACGAGTCACAAATAGCTTACTGCAACTTTGACAAATATTCAAGCAGCTGCGAGTGATAATGAAGCAGCTCAATGATCATTATATAGACCCCCAAATGTATTTACAATAGCTAGCTATATATTCTTTGAAGGAGGGGTGGGGAGCACTAGAAATTTCCCAAAATAGAGGGAAAACAGAAATTCCTAAAACCTGATCATTCTCGTGGAAAATTCAGCCTGTCAAGGACGGCTAGCTGACTCAGAAGAAAAAGAAGGTGCTAATTTCGTATTGACTACTCAGGTGAATTGTCGCCTCACATACGTATCTTCATGCACGAACACGGGATTATGAGAAGTAGGGGGAACCTCAGGTTGGCCCATAGCAATGCCACTCTGATTGGGAGCAGCAGGGTTTCCGAATAGATTGTCCTTTCCAGATGAAATGGTTAGATAATACAAGATGCCAAGGGTAGCACTTGCAAGGCACAACACAGCAGCCACTGCAAAGACACCAGGCTTGACAACATAGCAATAGTAGTAGCTAAAGTACGCATTTTCAGCACCGTGTTGATCATTGAGGGCTGCGCCACCGAGGAGTAGGAGAAATGCTACAACAAAGGTGAACCTGCAAGACACATAAGAAAGAACTTCAAGTCACTGCTCATTCTTTGAACTTGCTTTATATACGAAGCACAACTATAGAAATTAGCAAGTATTCCTTGAAGTAACCAAGTATTTGACATCATGAAATTTTTTGACACAATCCTAGGGCATCAAAAGTCACTAAAGTTGGAGTAGCAACCAGAAAAATGTATCGTTGATTAGGGTATATCTTGCAAGTTCTGACCGCACAGAGATATCTCATTTAAATGTCCAAAATATAAGCTAAGATAGACCTCCATATCACACCATCTCCTAATTCAGTGTATTTGCAATTAAAATTTAGAAAGACTATTCAAGTGCGGCTGCAAATTTGCAATCAGAACATCCGTGTCCAAATTGAAACAAATACACATGCAAATTAGTAACTCGAGCTTTTCTATGAACAATAAAATTCAAACAGGCACTATGATGTAGGAGCTATGCAGGAATTTTGGGTTTAAGGAATTGTGCCACTATTATGTGCATTTTTGTGCCATGCATAGGGAGAAAAAAGCATTTCCATGATTCTATCTGGCCTCATTTCCAATTTCAAGCATTTCATGATGCAAAGCCTAAACACGAGTTAATGAAGCAAAGAAAGAGAAATACCAGGATATAATAAAGCAAGTAAGGGCAAGAGTCCAATGAGCAGTTGAAGTATAGGGATTTCGTCGGCAACAAATACAACCGCTTGCAACATTAACAATAACTTGAGCAGCTAGAAGGGCAACCGCTGCACTTGTCCCTAGCCCATAAGCTGGACTCCTTGGGTAAGCACATATACCAGGTTGAATTTCATTAACTTGGGAAGCCTGCAAGATAAAATTGAAATAAATAAAAATTGGTAAACCCCTGAAACAAAACTTCTGTGAATTATCTACAATTGGATTAGTACACGATGACAACAATCACAATTTGTTGTATGTAACCTACTCAGTTACTAGTAGAAAGGTTGGTTCCGAAAGACTTATATGATGGGCAAGTCCAAGTTCATCGATCAATTATACGAGTCAGACCTCATCACCTCATGAACTCTTTTTTACACAGCTAAGCAATGAGTACTCATCTCTTACCTTTCTATACCAAACTATAACATACTCCAATTTCGGGTTCTTACAACCAAATCTTAATGACACATTAAAACACTCGAATGCAAAGATAGATAACCCCAGATGGATTAAATCTTAACTAATTTTGGAACCATTCCATCAGTTGAAAAATCGCGGTGGGATAAGGTCACCGTTTCAATTAACAGCTGAAAAAGAGACAGGGCACCCATTTCAACTTACTGCCACTTTCTGCAATAGCATTTAGGACATATAACAAGGTTCAATTTTAAAACCCTAGATCTCTCATAACATATCAAATACTACAAACTAAAGCAGGAAATTAGAGAGCAAAATTAACAAGGAAACAAAAAAAAAATAAAAAAATTGAAAAAATATCAAATCTCTTCAAATTGCACAAATTTCAGCACAAAGTAAGATAATTAATTAACAAATTTCATGCCAAATTATATAATTTAAACCAAATATTCAGACAAATTAACTGGAAAAACTAGTAGCACTTATATACATACCCATTTCATAAAAACTTGTAAAATTACTAAATAATGAGCTAAAAATGAAATTAATCAAGAAAAAAATAACTGGGTATGTTTAATTTGGATTGAAAGATTGAAACTATAATCAAACTTACTCTGATTCTTTTACCCTCAGCAGCGAAACCAAGAACAGCTGCAAGAAGCCCTAAAAAACCCACAACTATGCAGATTATTAGACTCTTCTTCTCAATCTTCATCATATTTTTCTTTGATTTCTCCTTCTTCTTCTACCTTTCTCACTTTTCTTGTTCTTCTCTCTGTTTCACAGATATCCCGTGAAATGTTTTCTAGAAAGTAAAGAAAAGAAGCAAACCTTGCTTAAGCACCTGCAACTCTGCAAGTAGTGCAAGTTTACTGTATTTGGGATTTACTGCAAGCTTACTTTACTACTCGTATCTGAGAGGATATTTATGTACAATATTTATTTAATCGCAATTTTAAAGTTACACACTTGCTTTTGCGGACAATATTAAGATAAATATATTATATACTCCCTCCGTCCCTTAATTAGATTTATATTTCTCTTTATTATTTGAAGAATAAATGCTAGAAATATGAATCTAATTAAAGGACAGAGGGAGTATACTCTAATCGTTTTTTCAAGTGCCTCATTGGGTGTTTTAGCACTATTTATTAGACCTACTTTGGTGGTTTGACCAATGACATCAAAACTTTGTAAGAAATCTAGAGGGGTATTACCTGTTATTGCAAGTATGGAGTAAATGGTATGAAATCAGTATAAACATTCTACCTTCGTTTCACGTTATGTGCAACAGAAAGAGGAATTACGGATTCCAAAGCAAAAGTTTGTAAATTATAAGTGGGGATTAATTTTAAAAAAAGGGACATGTGATTTAAGATAGAGTGAGGATAATTTATTAATCAAAATCTTCTACCATAACCGACCAACGACCACCCCAACAACATCAGCGACCACTCCAATGGCACCTGTGAACATCCAATGTCATCACCAAACAGGCAAACACCCCAACAACACCAACCACACCAGTCGCAAATAAATGATATCAAATCAGGTTCTAATTAATGGTATGAAATCAACTTTGTTTCAATACATTGCAAATAAAAGTGTATAAAATCAGGTTATGTATAGGATGATATCAAATCTATTTCAATATATTGCAAGTAATAAAATATTGTATTTAAAATACGTAGATTGAAATCAAGCCACTAGACAATGACACATTGCATTCTAATTTTTAGCTAAGTGTTGTTCTGCATAATGTCAACTAAGCGTAGACAACCATGCGCATAATACCTATTAAGCGGAATTTGGATATATTTATTAGGATATAGATGTCATTAGAGATTTATATTTGATATTATTCTAATCCTCCAAATTCTTAAATTAATTTATATATTTGATTAAGTATCTAATAAAATTGTACTATGACCTTTTGATAACATAAAATTCGCTTTAAAATAATGCTTTTAAACTAATTCATTTATGCTAGTTTTAAAAAAAATTATAAATAATTATATTAAAAATAAAATATTATGATTTTTTTTAACAGAATTTTGCCTTTTGGTACCTCGAAAAATAACCTAATTTGACTTTTGATAACCATTGATCTAAAATTTTATTGAAAAATTCTCAATGGTACTCTTGAACTTTTTATTTTTCTCAATGATTAACATTGAAATATCAAATTATCTTTGGTAATCTATAATTTGTAAAACTAATTCAATGGTAACATTAGTTAAGCATTTTTAAAAAATATTAATCATGGCTAATGTTTTAAAGGGGAGGGAAAAGTGAAATGTCTAAAATACCCTTTAAAACAAAAACCCACCACCACTCCTCCCCCCTGCCACCTCTGCCCGACCAGTTGCAACCACTAAGCCACCCAATCTCCAACAGCCAACTCCCGCTTTTCACCGCCCCCCGACGTTGGCGTGCCTAGATCCTTCCTCCTCGGCGTCGGCGCTGTGTAGAACACCCCTCCCCCCTGTCGCATCTGCCTTCCGCGCGTTGAACCACCCAATCCCTTCCTTTAAGGTGGAACTTGATCGTAGAGGTGTTCCGATTCAAGATGTGTCTTGCGATCTTTGCACATCAGAACCGGAGGACTTACAACATCTCTTTAGAATGTGCTATACTGCACGAATAGCTTGGAGGGGTGGATGCCTCGGCATCCGCTCAGAATTTAATGGAAGTCTTTCTCTCTCAGATTGGATCCAAGAGTATATCCGACTTTTTACTAGTCAGGATGGTCCTTCGGGTACGCGCTTGGGTAGCTTCGTCGGTACCCTTTGGACTCTGTGGTTATGTCGAAATTCCAGAATATTTAGGGATTCTACTACTTTCCAGACGTTTGATTCTCAGTTAGCACAGGTTATGGACGCGCATACAATGTTTGTCAACACGGATGCCTCTACGAGCACCTCCTCCATTGCAGGATATGCTGCGGCTGCCTCTCCTCCGCCTGGGTTCTACACAGCTCAGCTTGGACTGGGCACCCAAGGACCGCCTCTACTTTCTCTCCAAATTGACGGATCCTGGTTCAAAGATTCTCAACAAGATGGAATGGGATGGTGCGTGGATAATGCAGACCCGTTGGATGATCGGATCATTGGTGGCAGTAACTTCGGGATTTGCAACTCAGCTTTACACGCGGAGGCCTTAGCATGCATGTATGAGTTACAATGGGCTTTTGATCGCGGTTTTCGCTCGCTAACAGTTTTTACGGATTCCTATAATCTTGTCTCCCTTCTTAGGGGGGAGGGTCATGGTAACGTTGCTTACCTTTGGCTCATTCGCAAGATTAAAATTATTTGCTCTACCTTTCAATTGTGCTGCATTCACAAGGCAGATCGTCAGCGCGTTCATCGAGCTCATCAAATAGCTGGGGAAGCATCGGTTAATTTTATTTGCTTTAATATTAATATGTAATCTGTTTGTATCCTTTGTAAAAAAAAAAAAAAAAAAAAAAAAAAAAAAAAAAAAAAAACCTCTCCCTCTCCCTCCCCCTTCGAGTTGAGAGTTTGAGACCTTAACATTAGTATCCTATTAAATTATGTTAAGGACTTTAAACGAACTATTACAAAATTAATCAGTTTTAAAGAATTATTTTAAAACAATTTTTGTGATATCAAAAGGTCAAAGTACCATTCTAATAGATGCTTATTGAAATATATAAATTAATTTAAGAGTTTGAAAGATTAGAATTATGTCATATATAAACTCTAATGACATTTAAATCCTAAACATCTTATAACTAATATATAAAGCTAAACTTTTAGTCAGATCACAAGGCAACGACACTTGGCGTTCCAACTTTTCGCCAAGTATCGTGCCAAGTGTCGTGCCACGTTGGATAGATTTAGATAGACTTCATATGATAAAAAAAAAGTTAGTTTAGAATTCTATTTAAATATAATTTTAGGATAAAAATGTTAGTTTACAGATTTATTTTTGAAAAAATACCAATATTTTAAATGTACAAATTGAATTATAAATTTATTCAAAAAAATTATTAGATTATAATTCTCAAAAGTTATCATATAAATTTATTTTTTTATATCATAATATTTTTGGAGCGAAGGGAGTGGTTCAAAACGTAAAACATCAATTTATAATATATACTAATCGGTTAAAATAATATACTTCACATTCTAATTGAAATTTATTACTATATTGACCTATCAATTAGGGTTAGATAATGAGTTATCTCGGATTTAAAATTTATCTTAAAATTCAATAAACAAACCTGGCATCGCACGGGGGCACGGGGCACAAAACTAGTAATAAAATATACCCAAATCTTGCTTAAAAGGTATTATACGTGGGGTCTATGCTTAGTTGTCAATATATGGAACAATACTTAGCTAAAAATTAGAATGCCAAGTGTTATTGTTCCATGGTTCAATTCGATTTTAATACACATATACATAATAATAAATAATCAAAGATCATTAATCCATAGTTAAAAATCACTAATTAATAGTTCAATTCAGTTAAGCTCTAATAAGTTCAGTTCAGTTCAGTTCAATTCAGTCAATCAGAACATGCCCTAAATGTCATCAAAACTTTATAAGATATACAAAGAGGCATTAATTGGTTGTTATTGCAAGTAGAATGGTATGAAATTAAGATCTTACAATCCACCACATATTAGTTATTACCAGTAACATTTATTTGGCTATAATGAAAATACATACGAGTTTTCTACAAAAAAAATACATACGAGTACCTTAATTTAATCGTTATCACATTTATTCGAATTCAAAGTATTTAGGAAAAGAAAATTTACACAATGATATTATTTAATTGTCATCTTGCGCAAACACAGGAGATGAGCTTCTGCGTAACAAGCTTAGATATTACAAGATACTGGACATGGTACTAAATAAACATAGTGCAGCGGCCCCTGCAAACCATCCGGAGTGCATGACAAGCAGTGGTAAAAATCGTCAATTTGAACATCATGTTGGTCGTTGAGAGCAACATACCAATATAATATGATAAATGTGGCCAAAAATGTTAAACTGACACGAAATAAAAAAAAATAAAAATAAAAAGTTATTAATATTTTGTTAAACAAAGAAAAAATATTAAAATTGAACAAGTAAAATAGTTTTAAAAACATGAAAAAAAATAATAATAATAAAATAAAGCCAAGGACATATTCTTAGAAATTTAATTAACATGTTTTTTTTTTTTTTTTTTTTTTAATTTTATATTTTGGCCAAATTAAATAAGAAAGTGATCGAAATAAGTACCATGAGGTGATGAGGCTGATGATGAAAATTGTCTAGTAAGAAGTAGACGAGCAGGGTATTGGGCCGCAACAAATGTGGCCGCCAACAATATGGACTAGGACTTGCGCGGCCAGAATGACACACATAGCACCTAGTCCGAGCCCATATGCTGGACTCCTAGTGAATGCACAGACACCCGGTTGAATAAACTCAACCTGGGAGGCCTACAAAATTTTCAAATAAATAATAAAACTTCAGCATGAATTGTTTATTTGTAATACAATATTAAAGTAGGGAAGATTATTGAAGGGCGGCTACATATATTGATATATAATTAGAAATTGTAACTATTATAATTATGTCCATTAATATATTTTGACTGCATAAATAAATATACTTCATTTATATAATAATATAATAAAACAAAATTTGAAATAATATAATGAAACAACTTTGTCCTTTTTTTTTTTGTGAAATAATATAATGAAACAACCTTGTCCAATTTAAGTAGTCAACGTTTGATGATAATAGTGTGTAATACAATAATAATTACTTTATTAGTACGGAGTACTATTTTTGTTATATATAGCATTTATTTTAGGCGCTACTTCATTTGATTAAATCACAAAGTTATTTTTTAAGCACGTATGTGTAATTTGCACTAAGTACTTAATCCTAGTGTATGTACA